GAATGGACTAAAAAGGTAAAAGTAAGGTTTGTTGAACCTAGAATTCCCATTATTAAGGGGGAACATTGGTAGTTGCTTTGATATTTTTCCTTTGTTGCTAAATAACACGTGATCTTTATTACCATGCTTAATCGATATTTGTTATGTTGCTCACAAATTCACATGCTTAACTTGATTTATGCTTTTTGATGTCGCCAAAAAGGGAAGAAAAATATGAAAATTGAGAAAATTTTATTCTCCCACTATATACATACATATTAGTTTGTAATGCTTCACTTTTATAATTATAATATTTTCAAATCATTCATAAATTGAGGGGGAGTATCGAGATATATTATTTGAGAATATTTATTATACTAACCCTTTCTCAATTTTAAGTTTGTCATGGTAGAAAAGGGGAGATTGTAGATACAAGGTATGTTTTGATAATAATAAAGTTGCAACAACAAAAAAAGAAGAGATTGATCAAGAGCAAAAAATATCAACCATATGTGAAGATTAAAAATACATGATTGAGCCACACAAGAAAAGTAATGAGATATTAAAGTGGCAAGAACATGGATTAGCTATGAAGAAAGATAGCAATGGATCAAGAGCAACAAGGAAGAATAAGAAGAGCAAAATCAATATCAAAGGCAATAATATCATGGTTGTCATCTTGAAGAAAAGAAAATGATCAAAATCAACAAAGTGTCAAGTATTGTCATATCCAAAATGCCAAAGCATCAAGTTCAAGTGAGAATCAAGATCCAAGAATCAACATGAGAAGCTAAGTCCTTATTCCTATTAGATTACACTTTTAGGACTTTTTTTTTTAGTACAATACACTTTTAGGACTTAGATATGATTGTAAAGGTATATGGCAGATTGCATTGCATGAGCTCAAATTTTTTCTCAAAGTAGACTGTTTTTCAAATTTCATAATCCATAGTCTTTAAATACTTGAAAGAAATTTGAAAAACCTATGGAAAAGATCCTTGACATATTTTATAACCGTAATGCATATTTATCAAGTCAAGATCTTTCATAAAAAGTGATTGAAATCTATTTTGAAACAAGATCTTTCATATCAAGTCAAAATCTCCCTGGTTCTGTCTTCCAGCCAATTTTTAATATCTAGATGATGGATTTGGAACTTGTATTATTCATTAAATTTGTAGATTTCTATTTTATCTTTCCAACAAGACCAAAATCACATCAATCTGATAAGAATAGCTCAAGGTATACCCAAAATACGAAATAATGTTATTGTTGTCGAATTTCTAACCTTTAACAGTATCATTAATCGATTATCTATATATGGTAATCGATTACCACTGACCAGAAATAGAAAATAACGGCTATAAACAGTTAGTTTTGGGAAAAGTCACTATATATACATTTCCAAAGCCCTAAAATATTTTGGGCATCATTCCTATACATCTTAAGCATACTTTGAGAGCTTCTGCATCAACATATACATATTCTTTCATATCTTTCAAAGATTGCACATATTTGAGCTCATATCTTGAAAATTTATATACCTATAGTTCTTTATGTTGTATATTGACACTTTGAGAGTATATATTTATTTCGAAACACTTCTTTATTGTATTCTTGAGTTGAAAGAGTTGTGAGATCCATTGTATTTGAGAGATAGCCAAATACCTAAGTAAATTTGGAGAGAATCATAAATTTTTCAAATATCCATAAACTTGGAGGTTGCAAGGTTTCCAAGCACCCGAAAGCTTAGAGATTGTAGTGGTTTGTTAGGTACCCGAGAATCTTAATGGATATTGAAAGATTTGATCGAGCGACTTTAGTCTAAATGTAGGTCACAAGCGGTGGTGACCGAACTAGGATATATTGTGTTTACAATTATCTAAAATTTAAACTCTTTATTTCTAGCACTTTAATTGCTTCTTTGATATTATGTATGTGCTAGTATAGATTATATCATTGTGGTAGATTTATATTACTGATTGCTTGAATATATTTATAAGCTTATCATATGTCAATGTTTTTATAAAATGTTAATTTAGAAACAAGACTGTGAATTTTGTGAAAATCTTGTCATACTCAATTCACCGGCCTCTTGAGTATGGAAGCTCATTCCTAACATATAGGACCTCAACTTGAAGTGCCCCGGATGCGACAGAGGTCCATGAAGCAGCATTATAGCCCAGTAGCCCGAACATTCTGACTGCCAGACCGGGAGGGTGGAATTGTTGGCTTTTTTTTTTTTTTTACCATTTTGCCCCGTTTGACCATAAAAATTACCAATATACCCTCATTTTTATACAATTTAAAATTTTGACCTTTTAGTAAAACTTAACACCAATCTACCTTAATTTGACCGTTGATTGATGATGCAATCGATTACAATGATGATGGAAATTATATCATCCAAAAATAAGATTAAAACTTCGGAAGACCATAACTTTTGGCTTGGGAGTCTGAATAAGTGTTTTTTTTATTCCACATAACTTTTTGAGATTTACACACTGAAAAATTTCCGAATCAGAGAAAGCCAACGAGGGAAGTGGCTTACTTGGCGAGGCACATAGAAAGCCCATGAGGGCGGCGGTCGAGGCCTCCGCGATCTGGGGGGCGTTGCCCACACCCCTCGCTCTGGCTGCTCCCCCATATCCCTTTCTTCGTTAGCTTTCTCTGCGCCTCGCCAAGTAAGCCACTACCCTCGTTGGCTTTCTTTGGTTCGGATTATGTGAAATTAAAAAAAAAAAAATTGATTCCAACTCTGGATCCAAAAGTTATAAAACAAGACTATATAAAAGTCACTTCTCTTTTTTTCTTTTTTCTTTTTTTATATATTTCATTTTTTTAATTCAATGATTGAAACGAAATTTATAAAATCTCTGTCATAATTTTTCTCATTTAATTAAAAGAATTGATAGTTCGTGCATGTTTTCTGAGTTCAATAAACTGAAAACGAATTGTAGGAGAAACGTTTTAGAGGGATGTATTTGTTTTTTTAATTGAAACACAACTGTTTTACTTAAAAAGACATCCAAAAGCCTGTTTTGCTCATGCCCCATTCAGGGTACCAAAAAAAAATAAATTACATTCAAAATAGCAAATACTTAGTTACTAAAAAATAAAAAAATAAAAAAATAACAAATACTATTCACATAGTTTAAATTTTAATTTTTTTTAAAAGAAGTCCAAATATAATCTGTTTAAAAATTTGTTTGTAAGAATAAGCTTCCTTAAAAGAAAAAATCAGCAGGATAGTACAGAAACAAAAATAATAACGAAAAAAATTAAATTTTATTTTTAAAACTTGAGTTCAAACCCAAACATCTTATAAACAACTACTTAAGCCTCTTTTATAAACCATTAATCCATTCTTAGTGATTTAAAATTAAAATTTTTACATTGCATTTTTTATGTAAAATTTTTGTACTTGTCGCTTCTTTTATAAACATTAAATAAACGAGACCGTATTAAAGTTTGTAAAGTGAGAGAAAAAAGTTTTTAAACCATCATATGAAAATGTAATATCGGAAAATCAATTGGCATGAAAATCAAGATGAACATTGAATAAGACCGGACCGCATTTAATAATAATAAATTGCAAGAAACAGAAGATTCGTTCTTCCCTTGTTTCGGTAAAATAAATATAATATCAATGTTATCTTAATCTCACATTACATTCCATCATATAAAGTTCAAATCCGCGTTTCTGCTTCTCTTAGGTAACGCGATGGGTTAAGGAAAAACATTAAGGCGGTGTTTGGTTTAAAATTTTAACAATTGATTTTCATTGTTAAAATTTTTACATTGCATTTTTTATGTAAAAATTTTGTACTTGTCGCTTCTTTTATAAACATTAAATAAACGAGACCGTATTAAAGTTTGTAAAGTGAGAGAAAAAAGTTTTTAAACCATCATATGAAAATGTAATATCGGAAAATCAATTGGCATGAAAATCAAGATGAACATTGAATAAGACCGGACCGCATTTAATAATAATAAATTGCAAGAAACAGAAGATTCGTTCTTCCCTTGTTTCGGTAAAATAAATATAATATCAATGTTATCTTAATCTCACATTACATTCCATCATATAAAGTTCAAATCCGCGTTTCTGCTTCTCTTAGGTAACGCGATGGGTTAAGGAAAAACATTAAGGCGGTGTTTAGTTGAGAGCTTTTCAGTGAATATCTATGTTTCTCAAATATAGCTTTTAGAAACACCATATTTGTTTCAACGTATTTTCACCAAAAACCCATCTATCCAATTTGTATGGATTTATGAGAAATATAGATATCCGCACTGTTTAGAAACCCAATTTAAATGTGGGATTTTTTGGAAAACTGATTATCTGACTTTTAATGCACTGTTGATTTCATAAAGTTACCTAATTTTCCCAGTAAAGTTTTTCTCCACCAAACAACTTTTTTTTACATTTTTCTACCTATCTCACTTTATCTATCTTTCCAATCATTTCTCTATCTATTACATTTTCCTACTATTTCAAAAAAAATTCCTCAACCAAACGCTGCCTAAGACTTATTTAACGCTTATATTTTATTGAAAATTATTGAATTATATTTATTAATTAATTATTAATTTTTAATAAATTATAATCGTTAGATTGATGAAAATTAACAGTGATTAAATTAATACATTTTTTTAATAATAAATATATCTTACTCCTAATTTTTATCTTAAAATAATATTATTTTAAGATAAAAAAATAGGAGAGGTTATAGTTACAACTTTTTTTTTACAACCTCTTACAACCATATATCATAACCGTTGATTTCCGTCAATCAACGGTTATGATTTTCGCAAATTAAACTCATTAATTAATTATTAATTCATAATAAATAACAACTGTTAATTGACAAAAATCAATATGATTGTAAGAAGTTGTACAAAAAAAAATTGTAACTATAACATATTTCTATACAAAAATTAGCTCTAAAAATGATAAATATTTTTGGTATACTGCTCAAAAAAATTAATTATTACTTTTCTTCGTCTTCTCCGTTTTTGTTTTCATTTTCATTTTCCTATTCAAAGACGTATCTTTCTCTCTCTTCCACATCCATATTTTGTCGAGTGCGTAATGTATGTTAACATATAATATATATAAAATGCTGGATCTCAATTTTTCGTTGCTTATTCTTTCTGTTTCCGTGTGTGATTTGTGATTCAGATTCATTTTGGTTAGATCGGAAAAAATGGGGGACGGGGACATTGAAGGCGGTGGAGAGGACGGTTTTCACTCACCGATTGGTCGTAAGTATCGCCCTGTGTTGGCAAACGATCGTGCGGTGCTCGAGATGTCTTCCATGGATCCTGGATCTTCTTCTTCTTCTTCGTTTCCAGATCAGCCTCCTAATCTTAGGTATTCATGATGCTCTTTCATCAATGCGTGTTTCGCGATTACAGTAATTTCATTTCATTTAAGTGCTGTTTTGGAACTTGCTATCGCTTGCGATTGAAATAGTGTGATTGTGTGTGAGTTTTTGTGAAGTGAAGTGAGTTTTTTTTTTTTTTTTTTTTTTTTTAATTTTATTATTAACTAGTGTATGTGTTGATGTTAGAAAAATAAATGTGACTGCGAGTGCGAATGAGAGTTCGGATGCTAAAGGAGGGAACTCTCCTCGTCAGCTACAACCTAATGGATCCCAGCAGGAATCCAAACTGGAATTGTTCGGTTTTGATTCTCTTGTCAACATTCTTGGTCTCAAAAGGTATCAGACTTGCTTGCTACTATTATGGTTCTCAGGAACCCTTTAATGGGTGTGTTTGGGAGGGAAAAAAGCGTTTTTATGATATGACTATTGTTTAGAAGTTACTATTTTTAATTGTTGAGAAAGGTACTAAATTTTTTATTTTTTATTTTTATGAAAAACTCATCGAATTATTATAAAAAAAATTATACAGGTTTTTTAAATTAAGAAAGTACTTTTTTCTTAAAAAAAGAGTACAAACAAAGGGCCCTAATTGTTTCTTACCTGGGAGGGGTGCCATAGATAAATGTTGATTGTCAAATTTGATTTTAGTTTGGAACTTTTTTCTTGGTTCTCTGTTGTTAGGACAATTTTTTTTGACTATTTATCCTGTACTTCTTCAGCATGACCGGTGAGCAAGTTGCCCCACCATCTAGTCCTAGAGAAGGTGAGGATATTTCCATCACAGTTGGGCAGCCAAAGGTATGCTAATTTCTCAAGTATAAGTTTACTTCCTTTCAATTGTATCCTTCTTTTTATTTGATTTGTTAACTGCAATGACATATTCACATGTAGTAACTGATGAATATGTTATATGTGTTTATATAAGGTTTGAATTTACCAAAAGAAAATGTAAGAAATTGGAAAGCAAAAACAAAAGTCTCATACTAGAACATCTTCTGTTTCTATGTATTTGTAAGGAAAAAGGTTATGAAAAAATTATTTCAATTGTTTTGGTGAGGATGACAGAATTACTGTGAATCTTCTATGATAATGATTCATGAGTAATTGCTCCTTCCTCATACTGTATATACATGCATGATCCAGTGGTCATGATTTACAGCTCTTGCTTTCACAGTAAACTAAACTTCTCTTCTCACTTGATATGTCCCCTAAGTGAACATACAAATAAATACTTTTACACTATATTGGAGCTTTTGTAGAAATGCAATGTCTAGTAGTATTTCATCATACTAGTTGATGGTTCAATATAATTTCCAATATATTTTTTGGTTCAATGCAAAAAGCATGGTGGTTGTAAGTTACATTTCATATAATTATTTTTTATTTTAATTTTGGACTTTTTTTTTTTTTTTTGTCTTGACATAACATGTTTGTTTTATTTTGCAGCCGGCTGCTCCCAAACTGGGTACAATGATGGGTGTATTCATTCCATGTATACAAAGCATTTTGGGCATCATCTACTTCATTCGTTTCTCTTGGTAACTTGTATATTGCTTTAAATCTTATCTCAAATAATAGCTCATTCAAGGCTTTTTGAAACCTAATATTTGAACATTAGGGGGAGATAATTGATATTCGAATAAAAGTCTCAAGCATTCAAATATTAATATTATAACTCAGCAAGTATTCAAATACGACTGGACAATTCAGATTCAAATTTAAAACGTCAAATGTCAGAACATCTTTATTTCTTACTAGTTTTGAGCAAATGATCAATCATTGGAAGGCTCTTTAAGTTCACTTGTAGCAGTAGTTTGAAGTTGAAATTCATAACTTTTGTGAGATATGATCAAAATAGTGACCAAATGTTAGTTTTCAAAATCTTAAACTTGGCTGTTTCACTTGGTTTTTGAAATTCTTCCACAAATACCTTTTTAAAACTTGTTTACTGGTCATTGTTTAATCTAAAAGTTATTTGTTTAGATTGAATGACTTATTTGAGTTTTCTTGTAAAACTTCTACCTTTACATAGGAAACTAGGACCAAGAGAAAACTTACCTCATTGTGTTTGTAGGCTTCTTGATGCAATCTAAGCTTCCAAAATCTCTAATGTTCAAATCTTCCAATTGAATAGACAGTCTCTTCATTTTACGTCTTAAACATAATTAACTTGAAAATCTTATTTAGTCAAAATTAATAATTCAACATCTTAATATCATAAATGACTCTGAAACCTGCATCTTGTGTATATGACACATTTAATGTTTGTTGATTAATTAAGACTTTTATCAAGTACTATCAGGTACATTCTACAAATTATGTGACATAGAACTTATGATATAATTCTTATGTGAAATATAAAGTAGTATATATATATATTTATTCTTGATTCATTATCATCCATTAAGTACATATATGTACCATATTCATCATCTATTTGTCGTCATCAAAACTTAAAATATACATGCTTTCATCCATTAAACCCTAGCTCAACTTGTCATATTCCAGAAAGGCTTATCTACTCATGTCTCATATTTCTTTCATCTTTATGCGCTATATGGTTTATGTTCAGCACTGCGTTTTCCCCTCTACCCTAGTGCTGTACTTGTTGATTCACTATAAAAGGTTTTGGCAAAACCAAGGAGGCTAAACATCTGTGGCACTGTGGAATCTTTGTTGTTCTTTGGGGCATTTAGTTGGACCAAGTGCATACATCTTTAAGTGGATTGCCTTTCCCCTATATTTTTTGTTTGGGATAGTGGGCCCATTGTTGATTCAAGGGTGGCATATCTATCTGGAAAGGGATTGGGATGCCCTAGTGCGTTCCTAGTTTTGTTATATTTTTAAGTTTTTTTTCCCCCTTAGCTCTTGAGGATACCTTATGCTTGCCTTATTGTATTTTTATTCTTTTTAATAGGACTTCTGTCCCAAAAAAATAGAGAAAAGCAAATGATGAGAACTGTGTTGTGATTTTAATAACCAAATTATTATTTTGTGATGGTGGTTATTTTTTAAAAAAAAGTTGCTTTGGAATTCTGATATAAAATATGGTCAACTAAGTAATACTTACAATAAATTGATAATTTTTACTTGTTCTGTATTTAGTTATTGTAATTTGATGGAATTTGATTACCTTGCCATCCTTAAACCAGCCAAAATTGAGATGTTTCCTTTTAAATAATTTTCATTATTGTAGGATTGTTGGTATGGCTGGCATAGGAGAGACATTGGTGCTAGTTGCTTTATGTGGCACTTGTACTTTCCTTACCTCAATATCGTTGAGTGCTATTGCAACCAATGGTGCCATGAAGGTACGCACTGTATGAGTAAGTTGAACTACTGTTCCTTGGGTATGACTACGGTCGTTCTCTTTTTAAAATCTGATTGTTAAAATTAATTATACATCAGGTAACATTTTTTTTTTTAAAATTTTATTTTGGATTGTTTTACAAGTAGTTTGAACTATATTTGGTTGTCAATTTGAAAAAGAAGTTTGCTCTCATGTCTTGCTCAACTTATGAGGCTAGTACAGTTGATTTGATTAAAGGGATTGATTGAGAATTTAATGTTTAAGTGCCATTAGGTACTGTTACAAAAGATTTCTGAATGGCTTGAGGAAATTGCCTTAGCAGCCCCACTCTTTATAAATAGGATTTACAATCACGAATAAATGGAAACAAGGAAACTACAAATCTAATCAAATCAAGCTAATTAATTACAAATACACAATCCCTAAAATTGTGAATATGGTATATATTTCCTAAAATAGAAGATGCTATTCAACAGTGCACCAAATAAAATTGGACCAGATAGAATATCCTCTCTAACCTCATTAATGGGCACAATAGTTAATTTATGAGAATAGTCTTTGTATTTTTTCTGTGAACCATTATGTTCTGTTGATATATGATTCCATATATTCCAACACAGTTACTTTCACACCTTCAGGATGAACAATATTAACTTACAAAGAAATAAGTAATGAACCAAAGAGTGTGAAAGTGACTGGTGGAAGTTAGTACCCATGAGGCTAATGGCTATGCCATTTTCATCAGAATTTAGCACAGTAACAAAAACTTAGTCTCTTGAAGCCAGGCGCTATTCAGTGAAACCTTAGAAATGACCTCCTTGAGTTTGTTGCTTTTCCTAGGATTCCTAGTCCTTTGACACTCAACACAAAATCTTCATGAACCCAATTGTTCACAGATGAGTGTAGTCTTTGTATTTCTTCCTTGAACTATTTTTCTGTGTTGACATAAGAATCCAGAGACTCCACTATAGTCACTTCCACTTTCTGGTGAACAACATTAACTGAAAAAGAAATTAGTACTGTTGAATTTCAGATAGAAAATCTGTCTGTGTGTTTTAACTACACAAAGAAGAGGAGTTTATATGACCTGAGCTAAAGCAATGTACCTAGACAAGTATATGCAAGGAACAAACATGGTTTTCAACACTCCCCTCAAGTTAAAGCTTACTGACCCCTTTAAAAATGAAAAATAGCCAAACAAATAATCTAGGCTTTGCAAGACATGGCTGAGAAGATAACTCGATGATGTTAGAGATGTCAGGGAGATGAGCATTGCTGGAATGACAACTCAGCAAGTTGGCTGTAATAATCATCATCTTGAAGAGCGTTGAAATGTTGCATGACTAAGAGAGAAGAGAGTCAAGAGACTTGTTGGAATGATCATTAACAATAATGTCTTGGCAAGCAATTGTACATGGCAATAACTAAAACTTCAAGTTTGAGTACAACATTTGGAAGCTAGAAACCGTAAGAAAACTGAGAGCCAAAAAATTGAAATTGAAATTGAAATTGAGGCTGGTTGTGTTCTTTGTATTGTATTTGAGAGCTCATGGAATAAAAAGTGGGTACTGCCTTAAAATTAAGTAATTTCAAACTTGCACTAAGTAGTTTGTGTTGTTTGTTGATAGATATATTTTACTCTTTTTCTTGTATGTTCTTCTGTAGGGTGGGGGACCATACTATCTCATAGGTCGTGCCCTTGGTCCAGAAGTTGGAGTTAGCATTGGTCTATGCTTCTTCCTTGGAAATGCAGTTGCTGGAGCACTGTAAGTGCATAATTTGAATATTTTTTTATTTAAACTTTTAAAAGGAGATCTGGCTAGGACTAGGAGGATGATGGATCAAGTCTTGCCAAATTGTAGGATCATGATATCTTAATGTGTATCGTAAAATGAATTCTGAATTTCATTGTCTGGTGCTTATGGTTCTAGTTATGTATTGGGAGCTGTAGAGACGTTTTTGAAAGCTGTTCCTTCTGCTGGGATTTTCAGAGGTAACGAGTCTAGTCATAATTTTTTCTTTGGAATTAAGTGGTTTTTTTCATTTTTAATTGTTTTATTTTAAGTCCAAGCATGTTATTTATAATTTGAGCAAGGTTAGTCTTGTGTGGTTTTGGTTTTATATGTATCTCCTGTAACTGTCATAAATGATTAGTTCTGCAATAAATTTCACCTCAAGGACCTTGGTAAACATTTATGGGATTGTGGAATGTTATTATTGTTCTAGCATATATATAAAATAAAAAGAGAAATGTTGTTTACCTGTATAATAATTTTTGGTTTAGCTGTTGTTCTTTTTGTCTTGGTAAAACGTTTTTAAAGGTCAAAAAGATTTAAAGATTTCAGTAGTTATTGTAGAATGTTTCTATTTTTCAAAATAAGATAAAATTATATTGGAGATGGGTATTGGAGAAAGAAAAGTACGCAGAGCAAAGAAGTTGTCTTCTTTTTAAGTGATAAAGATAAATGTGTGTAAAGGCCATCAAACTGAGATGGCTTTTTGTCATGACATTTTTCCTTGGTGACTGTAAGTTGGGAGGATCTCATTTGTACTCCTTTGTATTGGTCACTATGATAAAGGGGGGAAGAAAGAGTCACTATTCTATTTTTAGATCAATGGAAACACTTTGTATTTTTTTTTTAATTTGTCTGTGTTACTGTTAGGAAGCCTCCTATAACTCACGATTACTATAGGAGGCATGACAGGGGATACACCCTTATGTGGGTTCAGGCTGCGTTAGTGGGAATTTGGAGTTAAGAGGGGGGAGGGGTGTGTGTGAAGAGTACCGTAAGATTGTAAGAGAGAAGTAGTGGGAGAGAGTAGAGCCTCTCGAATGCTTTAGGTTATTGTCTCCCCTGATTGTTCTGTAATTTTCCACGCCGGATATCTCACTGATATCTGAGTGCAATATAGATACAGTACAAGTTTCCTTTCCAAGTTCTTGCGTGATACAGATATTTTTCCATTTATTTTATTATGTGCAACTGTTTCTTTTTCATTTCTTTAATATACTTAATCTTGAGTAAAATTAAAGCATTATGTTTGAAGCGAGCTATTGACCATTTAATGATTATTTTTGTTGTGCTGCAAGTGCAGAGACTATCACACAAGTTAATGGTACTGCAGTTGCGCAACCAATAGAGAGTCCAAGTTCTCATGACCTGCAAATTTATGGGATTGTTGTGACGATTGTTTTATGCTTTGTTGTATTTGGAGGAGTAAAGATGATAAATCGGGTTGCACCTGCTTTTCTCATACCTGTTTTATTCTCACTCATCTGCATATTTTTGGGAATTTTTGTGGCAAGAAAGGATCATCCTACAGGTTTGTTTCTTGCTTTATGTCCCCTTTTCCCTATACTCTATTGTTGCCTTGTCCTTCTGCAACCACTTTGTCTATTTTAATAGAGGATCCGTCATTTAGCTTCATCCTAGGCTCAAGCTCACATGTAGATTATTTTTTCTATACACTTTATCAATCTGGTAAGACTTGGTTGATTTTCAGAAGATACATCAAACATAAGTTTTTGGCTTTTTGCTTCTTTTAATTTCTCGTAGGGTAAAACTATTGTGTCCCCCTTATCTCACAACAAGACAAGCTGTTATCAAAAGGATAAAATGAAAGGAATGTCAAGAACAATGATTATTTCATAAGCTCATAACTAAATATTCCAGAATATGGACTTTACACAAAAACACTTGTAACTTCAGTGCAATGGATCTGGAAATATTTGATGTTAATATTGTACTTTACCAAAAAAAAAAAATTCTTTGAAGAATATTTCACTACGTCTATACAAGACGATTGAAATTCAGATTTAAGTCAAAGGTTACACTTTCATGGTTCAAGGATTAATAGCATTCTATCCACAGAACAACTTCAACTCAGTCCAGGCTTGCATTTTACAGTTACTTTGAAGATAAATTTTATTTACACATTATAGATTTGTAAGTGACTGGTGAAGGTGCCTGAAATGGAATTGAAATAGTTTACTTTTGGAATTGTGCCATTGTAAGCACCAAAAAAGAAAAGAGTGACTAATAATAAAACTAAATGCCCTAATGAACGGGTTGAACATCTCTCAGAAAAGGATCTTGAACTGTATAGTTAACTGGAGTGAATTCAATACTGTTCTCATATATAATATACAAATTGTTTGGTCTGCTCTTGTTCAGTCTTGTTTGTCTAGTGCTCCAATCAATCTAATATTGCTTGGTTTTCTGAGTGCTGGTGGGACTGACTCAAATGAGAGCAAAAATTATGAGGGATTTTCTTTGGTTTGTTGTGGGCAATCAGAGAAGAGATCACCGTGTTACTTGGGACTTGGGAAGCTTGTTGTAGGCCTAAGAATGAAGAGGAATAGATTTCCAGCAACATTGGCCCTTTATTTTACTGACTATACATTATGGCTCCCAGTAATTAAGATCATGGTTTAGATCAGAATGGGGGACACCAATCGAATGGTCAATGCTAGTCTTGCTAGATCTTGGAAGTTTATTTTCAAGGGATGTTTCCTTTAAACAATTGATTTCTTTAGGTATTGGTATTGGTACTTGCACCAGGCTTTTGGAGAATGTTTGGGTGGGGAAGATTTCTTTCTAGTGACTTTTTCTCGCCTATAGGCTATAACATGTCTTCTCCTTGCCTAATTTGCCTATTATTAGTTTAATTTTTTGACTCAACTGAAAGTTCTCATTTTACTTAGAACTTCCATTTTCCATAAAGATTGAGTGATAGAGAAGCTACTGAGTGAGTCCCTATTTTTCTAGTATGATTGTGCTCATTTTTCTGGCAATCCAGATGGGAGAATTTGGACTCTTGCTTTTTTGAGTGTGTTATCTTTACAGTCTTTATTTGAATTTCTAATTCACTCCCCTGGTCATGAGCTTTTCCTTCTTGACAAATATATTTTGAAATCCAAAGCTGCATAAAGTCAAGTTCTTTGTTTGAAAAGCAGTGCCAAGTAGGATTGCTTTTTTCATTTTTGGGGATAAAAACAAAATTTAGTAGAGGAAAGAAAGCAAGATTACAGTTGACAAGCATGAAAAGAAACTCTCCACCAGAGGCAGAAAAGAGAAACAGATCTTGCCAATAGAAGGGAATTAGGGAAAGATTACTTAATGGGATTGTTAGAGTCCAAGAGTTCAAGAGAAAATGAAAGAAAGTGATGGAAATTGAGAGAAAGTAGAGAGAGAGAGAATGTGATGTTAACTGAAAATTGTAACTGTTATTATGATTCTATTTTTGTTAGAATACATGTATTGGAGTGATAGCTGAAACTACTTCTTACTACTAACATAAGAACACATGATAAACCTGACACTCTGATATTTTCCCTTCAAACTCAGGGTAGGTGTGGAAAATGCATCAACCACCCTGAGTTTGTCATGCAGTTCACAGAACCTGTGTGAAGACAGAGTTTTAATCAGTATGTCAGCATTTTGATCCTAAACTGGAATATGACATACTTCAAGACTTCTATTTGACACCTGTTCTCTCATTAGAGGTCTAACGCCATGTGCATAGTTCTTGAATGCAAAATCAAATTATGAGATAGAAACACTCTGCTAAGATGGCCATCGCAGATGCTGGGATAAGTGATAGAAACATTCAGCTCTTTAAGTATAGTCTGAATCCACAACACTCAGCTGTTTTGCTGGCTTCTGTATTCTACCTTGATACTAGACCTGGCCACTAGAGTTTGCTTTTTGGATCACCAGGAAAACAGGTTAAGGCCTAAATAGATGCAAGCACCAGATATGGAACGCCTATCATCTGGGTCAAATGCCCAATCTGTATCACAATAAGCAATTAGCGGAAGAGGATTGAGATAATAACTGATAGAACTTGTTGACATTATAGCTTATCTTGGGTCTGGTGATGGTGCATATTACAATGCACTAACCACAAACTGATACAAGGTGGGATCATCCATATAATTAGACTCTAGTTCAGAGAGCTTGCAGCTACTAGGCATGGGCGTGGATATTCCCTTTACTTTAAACATTTGAGCTTTAAGGATAAAATCTATGATATATTTGCCTTAAGATAGCAATAGTGATCTGTTTAGGAGATGTCGTCCACATGTACCAAAACATAGAGACAGTGTTTAGTTCCGGAGAGTGTTAAAATGATTGATCACATTTGCTAGACTGAAAACCAAGAGAGTAGAGTAGTTTTAACCCCCCCCCCCCCCCCCCCCCCCCCCCCCTTTTTTTTTGTAGAAAGAGTAGTTTTAACTTTTTTAAGTCTAACAAACCAGGCACATGAGGCTTGTTTTCGGCCATAAATTGCTTTATTCAGCTTGCATACACAGGACTTGTCTTTTGTTTCAAACCTTGGGGGCTAATTGTGTATACCTACTCATCCAAGAAACCATATAAGAAGGCAGTATTAACATTCAATTGCTGAATGTGCCATTTGAGTAGAGAGCAACTGTGAGAACTGTAACAAGCTTGTCAACTAGTGAGAAAGTTTAAATATATTCAAAACCTAGCTTTTGGTGAAAGCCTTTGGCCACTAGCTTGGCCTTGTACTTATTCAGAGTGCCATCTGGATTTTCTATAAAACGAAAGACCCATTTGCAATCTATAGGCTGCCTGTGGGCAGGAAGGGGCACCAATGTCCAAGTGTAATTCTTAATGAGAGCCTCATAGTCAGCTGTCATTGCAGAGAACCACTAAGGAGCCAAAGCTTGTTTTGCAATTAAAGGTTCAAGCAGTGTAAGTAAAACGGTGTGAATAAGGCGGGGTCTATGAATACGAGACTTAGACATGGTTTGCATGGGATGGACATTAGTGGACACATCTTGGGTAGGAGCAGAGGATAAAGGTGAAGGATTGGAGACAACACATGGACCATGACCAGGTTGAGATGAGCCATCAGAGGAAGTAGAGGTAGGACTAGAAGTAAAAGTGGATCCAGAAAAAATGGGGTTAACAATGGAATTAGATGATAGGATGGGATGACTGGAGGGAGTTTATGAAGTGACTTGAGCAGCAGAGGGTAGAACATGAAGAGGATTGGAAACTGAGAATGAGGAACCTGTAGGACAAGCATTAGTTTCAATCTGGAAGACTGGAAGAAATATAAGTAAGGAAATCTATATTAATTGAATAAATCATTCAACACACTTCTACCCTATACAAGAGTAACCCAGAAATGCGCACTCTTTTGATGAAAGGCCAGTTTGTGTTGGTTATAAGGTCTGAGAAATGGGTAGCAAGCACACTCAAAGACTTAAATGAAGTTGTCATCAGGAAGATGATGAAACAGCTCAGTGAAGGGAATCTTGGACCCTAATGAGGCAAGGAAAATGAGAAATAACCTAGCCGTGTGAAAGGCATGACCCCAATAAGAAAAGGGGATAGAGGCATGGGCCAGAAGAGTCAATCCCATTACCATGGCTTGGAACTCCTTAAAAACTGCTACAGAGTTAGATTTGGCTTTAAGAAGATAAATCCAAGTATACCAAGAATAGGCATCAACAAATTCTGAATTGGGGTAGGTTGTGAATCAAGCTCTGGGTACCATGTCAGAATCCAAGAGTTTGAGAGAAAATGAAATAAAGTGATGGAAATTAGAGAAAGTAGAAAGAGAATCTGATGGTAACTGAAAGCTGTAGCTGTTATTCTGATTCTAATTCTGTTACAATACATGTATTTATATATGGAATGATTACTGAAACCTACTAAACATAAGCACATGATTGAGTCTGACACTTTAGCAGGGATTGGTACAATTGACTTGTTCCAAATTTGTAGGGCTGACATTGCTTTCACTCCCTTCATATTGTTGCATGTTGAAGCTTTCTTTTCTGTGTCTTTTTTTTCAAAAAAAAATAAAAATAATTTACGTATGCTGATATGTGTAATTGATTGACTTTAGTTCATTTCTTTGTTCCCTCTATTTGAAATATTTAATTCAGAGGGAATTACTGGGTTGAGTTTGGAGACGATGAAAGAAAATTGGAGTTCAGATTATCAAAAGACTAACGATGCTGGAATTCCAGAAACTGATGGCTCTGTAAGCTGGAATTTCAAGTAAGACATCATAGCTTTTTTCCATTTGTTTATATCCATATATCCTCCTATTCTACTAGTTTACCTTTCAGTGATTGTGCAAGAAACCTAAATATCTGTGGGCATTGGGTTTTACTGTCTGTCAATGAATGATTTGTGGGCAGAAACGATTGACCTAAATGCTATATGGTGAATCTAAGCAAACATGACAATAGTATGCGTTAATTAGACTAAATCTGCAGATGTTATGGCTGAAATTACTAAAAGATCATGCTGTAGATTTTGTTCCGACTCTCTTGTGCTGGTATTTTTTTCATTGGGTGCAAATTCTATCTCTTGATGTTTGAGAATGATTTCAATAACTTATTATCCAAACATGTTAATTCTGGTGTTGGAAAGTGTAAAGAACCAATTCAACCAAAAAGTTTAAGTTGTTGGATGAGGCTACATTAATGATTTTATATAACTCTAACAAACCCCCTCACATGAGAGCCCATTGGGCTTGAAGGGTGGACAATGCACAAGCTCATTTACCTGTGCTAAGAAATTCCACAAGAGAAAGTGGGAGGCTTTGAGATCAAACCCGTGACACTGAGGCTTTGATACCATGTAAAGAACCAATTCAACCCAAAAACTTAAGCTGTTGGGTAAGGCTACATTAATGGTTTTGTATAAATCTAACAGAAAGTATTTAATTTCATCTTTTAAGTAGTTTATTGGATCCCATAGTTGAGCTGATGAAAAGAGCATTAGTCGGTCAAATGATATTATTGTTATTGTTGTCATCCCTCCTCAGGAGGTTGATATATCATATCAACATCAACAACACCTTTATCCTAAACTAATTAGGGTCGGTGGTAGATGAACCGTATAAAAGATACGAAGGGATTGAGAACAGATAAAAGTGAAATTTAAGTGTGTGTATATATATATATATAAAGAAGGAAACAATTAAAAAGAGAAGTATATTAAGGTAAACTAAAGATATAGATATATGAGGGCAAAAAAGAGTAAGAAAGTAAGAAAAATAAAATAAAAAATAAAAAAAATAAAAAAATAATATTTATATATATATATTGTAGAATATTCTAGATTGTGATTTATCATTTATTAGTGTCTCTTTGTATTGTACATAAGTCAAAGTTTTCTGCTTGCTATTTATTTATGTAGGTTCAGCTATTTATTGAGGTAGTTGAGGTAGAAGTAGTTGAGGTAGCTTATTTATTGAGGTAGTTGAGGTAGCCCATTGTACTCAATATAAAAGGACCCATTGGGTCTCTCAATGAATTAAGAAAGTGTTATTCAGACAAAACACTTCTTCTTTTCTTCATGGTATCAAGAACTGGTTATATTCCAGTCTCTTCCCCGTTCTGATTTATTTTTAAGTCATTTTCCTATTCCTTTTCTTCGTTTTAGCCACTGCCCAAGCCAGAATCCTTACCTAGACACCTCCAACCACGAAACCAAGGCCACCATTAGGTTTAGAACAAAATTCCGAGCCAGCCCACAGAAGACCCGTAGCAGTACTGTTCATACTGTAGCAGTCCTGTTCATACTGTAACAGTACTGTTCATTACTGTAGCAATTACTGTTTCACTGTAGCCAAGATTGCTCTCACTCATTGACTTTGGCGAGCAACCCTCTTCCTGTTTTGAGGGTCAAAATCGTATTTGGAGGAATTTTTTTTTTTCTGGGTACCTGTTGTTAGAAAGCCATGGACGATGAAAATTTTGAAAATTCCTCTTTTCAGAAATTGATGTCTCAACCTACTGAGGCAACTAGTCATGTTGCTCAAAGAGGTATGGCATTCCATGTTGAACGTAGTAATCGTTGGATCCTTGATTCAGGGGCCTCTGATCGCATGACAGGTAATGCAACCTTATTTTTCTCCTATACCCCTTACTATCACCCGTCACAAATAAGAACAGCTGATGGGAATTTCTCCACTATTGCGGGAAAGTGATTTATTAAACTTTCTGAGCATATTATTTTGAACTCAGTACTTCATGTTCCCTCTCTTACTTGTAATCTCATCTCTATTAGCAAACTTACTGTTGAGTTGCATTGTGTTGCTAAGTTCTCTGCAAATGCTTGTATCTTTCAAGAACAGGACTCGGGGATGATGATTGGCAGTGCTAGAGAGGAAGAAGGGCTCTACCATTTTACAGAGGTTCATTGTGAAAAGAGGATTTTTTCGAACCACTCTCTATGTTTATCAGATGACTGCAATGATGTTTTGTCATGGTATCGTAGGTTGGGACACCCAAATTTTGTTTACCTCCAGAAGTTATTCCCAAACATATTTATCAATAAAAAGCCAAGTTCCCTTCTTTGTGATATTTGTCAGCTTGCAAAGCACTCTCGTGTCACTTATTCTCCTAAGAAATATCATGAATCTTCTCCCTTTACATTGATTCATAGTAATATTTGGGGACCTGCTCGTGAAAAAAATGTCTCGGGTGCTCGTTGGTTTATTACTTTCATTGATGATCATTTTAGGGTATGTTGGGTATATCTCTTAAAAGATAAGTCTGAGGCAGCATCCACTTTTAAAAATTTTCATGCTATGATTCAAACTCAATTTCAGACCTCTATCAAAATTCTGTGAACAGACAATGGTACTGAATATTTTAATTCAGTTCTTGGAGATTACCTAAACCAGCATGAAATTATTCATCAAAGTTCTTGTCCTAACACCTCTCAACAAAATGGGGTGGCTGAAAGGAAAAATAGACATCTAATTGAAGTTGCTCGAGCTCTTTTATTCACGATGCATGTCCCTAAATATCTGTGGGGGGAAGCCGTCTTCACAGCCTGTTATCTCATTAATCGGATGCCTTCTCGGGTACTAAATTTTCATTCTCCTTTATCCTGTCTTACTAAATCTTTTCCCTCTTTCAGTGCTCTTTCTTCTCTTCCTCCCAAAATATTTGGCTGTGTGGTTTTTGTGCATATTCCTCCACATCACAGATCCAAACTTGACCCTAAATCTATTCGATGTGTCTTCATAGGATATTCCCCAAATCAAAAAGGTTATAAGTGTTACTCACCTTCTCTCTGTAAGGTTTTTGTTTCCATGGATGTTACCTTTTATGAAACACAATCTTTTTTTTCTCCGAATTCTCTTCAGGGGGAGTCTATTGGTCTTGGTATGGATGAAGATAAGCCTGGGAAACCAAATGATGCTGCTGTCTTACCTTGGCCTTTGGAAACAAGGGGAGTTATTGGGAAGGAAACAGGGCGAGCAACTATACCTGAGTCTAATGATCCTCCTTCTGATCAAGCAACTATACCTGAGTCTAATGATCCTCCTTGTGATCCTCTTGGAAAATAGCGAAAATTTTACAGCAAGCGCAAAACACATCAGGATGCGCAAAACACATCCTGACTCGAGTCCTTGTTCCAGCAACCCACTTGAATGCACTAGTACAGCCAACATTGATATGCCTATTGCTCTTCGGAAAGGTACTAGATCTTGCACTGCTCATCCTATTTCCCATTATATCTCATATGAGAAGTTGTCTCCAGGTTTTCGTGCTTTCAACACTATGTTAGATAGTACCAGGATACCCAAAAATATTCAAGAAGCACTTCATGACCCAAAATGGAGGAATGTTGTATTAGAAGAAATGGATGCACTTATAAAAAATGGAACATGGGAGTTTGTGACATTACCTAAAGGAAAGAAAACTGTTGGTTGCAAATGGGTATTCACAGTGAAATTTAATGCAGACAATAGCATCAATAGGTATAAGGCAAGATTAGTTGCTAAGGGATTTACTCAGACTCATGGGATAGATTATCAGGAGACATTTGCTCCTGTTGCCAAACTTAATACCATCCGCATTCTGCTATCTCTTGCCGCCAACCTTGATTGGCCATTGCAACAGCTAGATGTTAAGAATGCCTTCTTGAATGGTGATCTACATAAGGAAGTTTACATGGATCCACCTCCTGGTTTTGAAAAAGGGGATGGTTCTGTGTGCAAGTTGCAAAAGTCTCTCTATAGACTTAAACAATCTCCTAGAGAATGGTTTGGGAAATTTACTCAAGCTGTTAAGGGACGAGGGTTCACCCAAGCTCAGACTGATCACACTTTATTTCTTAAACACTCCGACAAAGGAAGAATTGTTATTCTGATCATTTATGTTGATGACATAATTGTCACTGGTAATGATAGCGAGGAGATAACCTCTTTAAAAAAATGTTTAGCTGACCAGTTCGAACTAAAAGATCTTGGATCTCTCAAATATTTTCTTGGCATGGAAATTGCTCGGAGTAAGGAAGGAATTTCTTTAACTCAGAAAAAATACATTCTAGACCTGTTGCAAGAAACAAGTATGCTTGGGTGCAAGCCGGCAGAGACTCCAATTGAAGCTAATATCAAGATGGGAGTTGAGGACGGGGAAGATGTTGATAGGGAGCAGTACCAGAGACTAGTGGGGAAATTAATCTATATGTCTCACACTCGTCCTGATATTGCTTTTGCTGTGAGCATGGTTAACCAATTCATGCATTCTCCTAAGGAAAAACACCTTAGTGTTGTTTATAGAATTCTCAAGTACCTCAAAATACCCCTGGTCGAGGAATTTTCTTTAAAAAGGGGCACAAAAGAATGATTGAAATCTATACAGATGCAGACTGGGTTGGCTCTGCAATGGACCGAAAATCTACTTCAGGATATTGTACTTATGTCTGGGGAAACCTTGTGACCTGGAGAAGTAAGAAACAAAATGTTGTTGCAAGAAGCAGTGCAGAAGCGGAATTTCGGGCTCTAGCCCATGGTATTTGTGAAGGAATTTGGTTAAGAAGGCTTCTGGAGGAGTTGAAGATCTCTTATTCCCTACCTATCAGATTATATTGTGATAATAAGGTTGCTGTCAGCATTGCTCAAAATCCTGTTCATCATGACAGAACAAAACATGTAGAAGTTGATCGTCACTTTATCAAAGAAAAATTAGAAGACGGTAGTGTATGCTTGACATATATACCTACCAAGGAACAGACGACAGATATCCTCACCAAAGGATTACTTAAGCCGACCTTTGAGGATTTGATCAGCAAGTTGGGAATGATCAATATATATCTCCCAACTTGAGGGGGAGTGTAGAATATTGATTTATCATTTATTAGTGTCTCTTTGTATTGTACATAAGTCAAAGTTTTCTGCTTGCTATTTATTTATGTAGGTTCAGCTATTTATTGAGGTAGTTGAGGTAGAAGTAGTTGAGGTAGCCCATTGTACTCAATATAAAATGACCCATTGGGTCTCTCAATGAATTAAGAAAGTGTTATTCAGACAAAACACTTCTTCTTTTCTTCATATATATATATATATAAAAGTAAAAATAAAAGGGGTGTAGGAAAAAATAACTAAATAAATAAGTAAGAGAAAAAAGATGGGGAAGGGAAAAAGAGATAAAGGAAAAGAAGGGGGGAGGAGGAGATGAAGTGGAAAAGGACTAAAAATGGACCATCTGGAACATAGGAATAACAACGGGTCTAACCCTTCACCATGCTTATAATTTTTCTTCATTCTGTTCTCAGACACACCGTCCGCCAATCTATATCCCACTCCATTAAGTCTTGTTTTATTACCTTCTCCCAAGTAAGTTTCGGTTTACCTCTGTCTTTCTTCGTGTTGATCTTTTAGTAACAAACTTTTGTTCTTACGGGAGCATTCAGCGGTCTTCTCATTACGTGCCCAAACTACCTCAATCTATGTTACAAAGAAAGGGTCCTATCATATATAAATTATATTCACTTAATTACAACCATATGATCTTTGATAGCCCCCTAGTACTAAGGCCTATGCTACAAAGAAGGGGATGGGAAAAAGAGAATCAGCACATGGTAAGGAGGACAGAATGGGGAATATTTAAATTAGTGACTTGCAGCATAACAAAATGCTTATGTGGCAGTGACAAATGAAGAGAGAGGAGGGAATTCGGTTGAGAGAGTGAGATAAATGTGAAGAGCAAGGAGAGTAGGAGTAAGGAAGAAATGAGTAAGTTAACTCTCAAAGAGCTGCTGTATCTTTTCGTTTTTCCTATATCTTGTATGATTCTACCACAGCAGTTGGGTTATTCCCACCTTCTTTAATGAGATACCTGGGTTCCCATCAATCTTTATATTTCACTGTACTATGATATTAAAATCATACTTAGTTAAGTTTAAAGGTGGTTTGCTTACCGCATAAAGAAGGTGAAATAAGGGTGGAAATATAAGAATCTAATGTAAGAGCTTTCTAGCAAAGGGATGCTCCATTGCAGAGGATGTTACAGGTGAAATATGTGGAATTGGCTATGAATGACTATGGAATATATTGAAATCATTTAGGAAAGGTTTGAAATTCTCTCGTCCTTTTTTAACTTTTGAGTACCCTAGATCCTTGGTTCTCGGAAAGTTCTAGGACAACTGACCTTTCTTTGTGGACAACTAAAGATAAGATAGTCAAGGTAAATGGTTGAGAAGAAAAGCCTGCATTATTGGAAGCTAGTGTTCCATGTTAAATATTTAGGAGTTAAACTGATGATCTAGTTTTGCGTTTCCTAGTGCTTTGGGTTCCGTGCATTTTTGTTCTTCTGAGGTTCGACATCAGATGGGTAACGACAGTATTTTTCTAGTCATAACATAGGGAGGTGTTATATTTGGAGTTTCTTGCTGTTGAATGTTGATTTTTGGTTGAAAGTGTGCATAGAATGCCTAGGAGCGAAGATCTTTCAACAGAGAGATGCAGATGGCAGTTCTTGTACACTTAATATTGGATGATATGTCCTAATGCCTTAGGTTTGTAGGAAATCCTTTATATAGTACCAAACACCATAGTTCCTTGTTTTGATCTAACAAGCTTTATATTGCTATTTATTTCCTTCTTTATTATGTTCTTTTCTTGGGAAAGCCCAATTTTGTATTATTTGTGTACCTCTTTTCTGAAAAATTTACCATCTATGAACTTGAGTTTCCTTGTTTGTGCCTTAAATATGTAGTTTTCAAACATATCTTGTTACTCGCTAGTCACCATTATTTTTGTTTTACTAAATGTAGTCACCATTGTTGAATTATTTATTCTTCTGATTTCTTGGACCGTTCACAAGACTTAATGCTTTCAGAGGAAAAAGTAGCATCCACATAATTTAAAACCATTTCACATTTAATGCAGGTGCCTAAGAGACCAATTTGTTGAAAAACTTGCTAGTTTATGATATTAAAATGATTTTTCAAATTTTTTATCTGTAATTTTCTTTTTTTTCCCCAGTTCATTGGTAGGGCTCTTTTTCCCAGCTGTGACGGGAATAATGGCAGGTTCTAATCGATCATCCTCTTTGAAAGATACTCAGCGATCAATTCCTGTTGGAACACTAGCTGCAACTCTTGTAACTTCTTCTTTGTATCTTATTTCTGTGATAATGCTTGGCGCTGTTGCCAGCAGAGAGAAGCTTTTAACTGACAGGTACTTTTCAGTCAAAAAGTTGTTTGTATAGCTTTTTCTTCTTGATAAAAAACGACTTTATTGAAGAAGCCGAGAAAAACTGAATTTGTACTCCCTTTGAATATGCACCTAAGAAATCTATTAAAAAACACCAAACACACAAACCCTTTTTGATCACTATATATTTTCCTTTGGAGGTTAGTTTGGCAGAAATGTTCCATGTTCTCCATGCAAGTCAAGTCATACATTCACTTTTTTGTTTTTTATTCGGTGTTTTTATTTTGATTTGGAGCTTTTATGCAGGCTACTTACAGCTACAGTTGCCTGGCCTTTTCCTTCATTAATTAAAATCGGGATTATTCTTTCAACTATGGGTGCTGCACTTCAGAGCCTGACTGGTGCCCCACGTCTGCTTGCAGCAATAGCCAATGATGATATTTTACCTATTTTGAACTACTTTAAAGTTGCAGATGGCAGTGAGCCACATGTGGCTACCCTTTTTACCGCATTCCTATGTATCGGGTGTGTCGTTATTGGGAATCTGGACCTTATCACTCCAACTGTAACCATGTTTTTTCTTTTATGTTATTCTGGGGTCAACTTATCCTGCTTCCTTCTCGATCTTCTAGATGCCCCCAGTTGGCGTCCCCGGTGGAAATTTCACCATTGGAGTATGTCGCTTATTGGAGCATTACTTTGCATAGGTATGCTGTCTTCCTCTGCTTTTTTCCCATCATTTTACTTCAATCGTTTCTTTATCTCCCTGTTCTGTACCCGAACTGTTGACACCTTTATGATTGGAAATTTAGTTTGTTCTGCTTTCTGCAGTGGGAAGGCTACAACTCGGACCATAGAAAATCCTTTTATGTAAAAATAAAAGATTGAAATAAAGCTTTGAATGTGAGAGATAATTCCCCCAAGATCATTAGTGAAACACCATATATATGACACAAACAAATTTATCTATAGACAATAGGAAGTAGTCAGAAACCCTTTACTGAGTGTATTTGTAAATAAGACATAAACCCTAAGTCTTATTTATAAAAGGGAAAATGCTGTATACTACCTATATTACAACTGCACAGTGCAAATTACAGTTATGTAAAATAACTACAAATAAACACTGATACATACAAATGAAGGGGATAGCTACTGGTTAGCTACTACTTCACCACTTGTCAAGTTGGAACATATTGACCGTATGCACTAAGCTTGTTTCAAACGTAGCTAAGTTGAGGACATCTGAGAGACTTCGTAAGGTATGTCTGCTTGTGCTAGCAGTTTATTTGAGCTGCTGAAGCTTGTAGCACTGCATCCTAACTAAATCCTTCCCTTGAATGAAATGACAATCTGCCTTTATATCTTTGGTTCTTTAATGGAAAATGAGATTATACACAATGTGAAAAGCAGCTTAATTGTTACTAGTTTCACTAACATCATCTAATTTCGACGAAGTGGAGATCAATTTCCTTGTGTTGGTTTTGTCATGGTGAACATGATTCTAAGCAATATTAACTATTTTCTTGTTGTCACAACAGATTCTTATTGGTAAAGAGTAGGAGATATTTAGCTCATCAAGGAGTCTTATTAACCACATCCCCTCGCAAATGCCATGAGCTAGTGCTCAAAACTTGGCTTCTGCACTACTCCTTGCCTCCATTGGTTGCTTCTTGCTTCTCCAATTACTTTGTTGTCCTATACAAAGGTGCAATAACTTGAGGTCGATCTTCTATCAATTGATAAATCCTAATTTGCATCAATATAGACTTCAATTATCCTTTGTTTTCCTTTTCCAAACAACATTCACTTGCTTGGTGGGTTTTTAAGATACCTTAGAACTCTATAGAGTGCATCAAGGCTTTTTCCTTGTTTGAGTGCATAAACTAGTTAGCCATAGGTATTCCAAATGCAATGTCAGGCCATATATGAGATAGATAAATCATTTTACCATCCAATCTTTGATTTTACCCTTGTCCACCTTCATTGTTCAACTTCACATTAGATTCCACGGGTGTCTCAATCGGTCTGCATCCTAGCATGCTTGCATCTTGGTGTAGATTTAGGATGTTCTTATAAGAAATTACGATCATTGTCTTGCCTCGAGCTACCTCCATGCGAAGAAAATATTTTAGGACTCCAAGGTCTTTTGACTTAAATTGGTTTGAGGGCGAGCCTTGGAACAACAATAAGGTTTCTCCTTGTGACCAGAAGGTCACAGGTTCGAGTATGGGAAACAACCTCTATGCAAAAATGCATGGGTAAGGCTACATATAATCGACCCTTCCCCTTACCCTCACAAGTCGAGGAGCTTTGTGACTGGGATTTTCCCTTTTTGGTTTGCTAGATATCTCGACAGAGAATCTAACTCCTTGTGATCATTTCCTGTAACGTTTATGTCATCCACATTGTTAGAAATATTAGATATGATTAGATTTGATTAGATTTGAATAGATTACTTCCTATCTGTAAATATTCTGGACTTCTCACTTAAGCCCATTAGGGTCTCTATATATTGTAACTCTTTGTATTAGATTAATACACAATTATCCTTCTTACTTTTAAGTCACATAAACCTTAAAGCATGTGGAAGAGTGTAATTGGTTTGGGCCTTTAGAAAATATTTCCCCTTGAATGCATAAGTGAATTTATCAAACCATTCTCTAAGTTATTGTGTTAGCCCATACAGAGACTTCTTCAAATTACATACCAAACCGCCTCGTTTTCTGAAACCAAGTGGGGAATCCATATAAACTTCCTCGTGTAGATCACCATTCAAGAATTCATTCTTCAAATCAAATGTTGCATGAGCTAATCAAAATTTACAGTTAGAGACAAGAGAACTCGAATAGTGTTGAGCTTAGTCACTAAAGAAAATTTTTCTTTATGATCTATCCCATATGATGTTGCCATTTTATAGTGAACAACCATTTGCAGCCCACCATCTGTTTTTCCCTAAGCAATTCCTCAATCTTCCAGGTTCCATTCTTTTCTAAGGCATCCATTTCTTCAAGAACATGTTTCCACCTAGGATCATCGAGGGCTTTTTGGATACTTGTTGGTATTTTTGTACTATCCAGTAGTGTGTTGAAGGCATGAAAACATGGGAATAACTTTTCACGGGAGATATAGTGAGAGATAAGGTGTGTAGTATAGGTCCTGGTACCTGTCATTAAAGCAATAGGCAGATGTAAATCCCTAATTCCGTGGTGCACTGGATCTGGGTTGCTGGAATTGAAATCCAAAGGGGAATCTTGGCAGTGCAGAGGTTCTAAATTGTTTTCACTTTGAGGCTTTCTCCATCTATACACCAATAGTTGTTTTTATCGATTGTTGTCTCTTGTTTCTAACTAATCATCTCTCTTGTTTTCATTGCTTATCTCCCCCTGTTTCCAATTGTGGTGAATATCTAATGAAGATACACTTGTGAGATTTAGGATTAATTACGCTTTGCGGTCAATTTACTAACAAATATGAGATTGCATGCTAAATTTGGGGCACGTAAAGCATATTTCAATATAATCTACCTTGAGAGTTTGATTGACCCCTTCAAAGAAAATTGGGAAAAACTTTCAAGTGCTATTTTGATCCCGGGAGTTCCTATGACATGGAGTATAGGATCAAAATAATGTCTATTTACTTGTCATATTAGCAGAAGATCATGAATTGAGTGTCCTGTGAGAATTATTGTTAACGTAAAGGCACGTTGAATGGAGTTTGGAACAAAGGCATGTGGCTTTCACACCCTTCACATGAGCCTCACATATGGCACATGGCATCACCTTCTCGATTGAGGCTTGCAAGGGTGACTTTTAACTTTAGCGGTTCTTGGATAAGCCTTTTATGGTGGTGCTTCGCCTGATTTTAGGCCGTGACATTGGAGAGCTATTGATACCATGTGATTGTTGGAATTGTGCCAGGGAGCCCAAAACCCTTTGCAAGGGATACAAATATTTCTACAATGGGCTAAGAGGCAGACCACGATGAGTGAGTTTAACACCACATCTCAACCCAAAACCTTAAGACAGTGAGTCTCTGGTCTAATCTGTTTATATTGTCCTCACTTGGTTCATTTCTAACCAATGTGGAACTTCCAACTCACACTAGAATTTCTTTTCCAACATTCTCCCCTCAAGTGACTCCCAACATCATACTCCCCCTCAAGGGCAACTTTTTGTTGATTTCTCTTCAAGTATTGGATTTACACTTAGCCTTTTGTGGAGGCCTCTTCAATTGTACCCCCATCTCTAAATACTTGGCACAACCAAACCATTGGCTTTTATATCATTGTTAAGGGTTGGTTACTAATAGAGCCCAAAACCCTGTGAAAGGGATACTTCTGCCAATGGGCTAGGAGGCGACCATGATAAGTTGGTGTGACACAACATCTCAGCACAAAACCTTAATGCATGAGTATATGGGTGTTTTCCGCTTATATGGTTCTCACTTGGTCCATGTGTAACCAATATGAAACGTCCAACTCACTTGAATTTCATTTCCGACAGTGAAAATATTGTATTGACTTGATTTCCCCCATAGGGTAGATAACAATATATACAACATACCTAAATGAAAATAAGAAAACTAAATAATTACAAGAAGCAATCATAATTGACAAAATATCAAAACATATACTATTTGATCCCTAAGAATTGGAGACTTCATATCTATCCTAAAATACAATGATATCCTAAAGATTTCCCATAGCTATATAGCTCCTGCTCCGTGCAGGGTTTAGGGAAGGGTCTAATAGTCTATGGTAGACTGCTTTACCTTGCATTTGCAAAAGGTTGATTACATGAATGGAATCGATGATCTCCAGATCGCATGGCGACAACATCAGCCGTTGTGCTAAGATTCCCCATCATAACATCTTGTTTCTTATTAATTCCATGATATTAATGTCACATTTGGTACATAAAATGGGTGATTCCACATGATAAGAATGGAACGGAACAAGGTAGAATGGAATGGATTTCTAAGCCATGAAATTGTTTGGTACATAGAATCAATGCAAAACGGAATCAAGTTTGATCCAAATGATATAAATACTCTTCAAGAAATTAATAAAGGTTAACTTCTGTCACTTATAATGTTCAAATTCATTTCTTCTATAAATTAATCACAAAATCTTGTCGAACCCTGACTAGGGAGGGTAAGGATGACAACAATTCTTGTACACAGTCTTATCTTTACATATTTGTTAATAGGTTGTTTTCCTGATTCAAACCCATGACCTTTCGGTCATAATTACATAAACTTATAGTTTGAATCATTTTGCTATAATATTATTTCTTATGATTTTTTCATAAATTTGTTCAACTATTATTCTTTGAAATTTAACATGAGTAATTAAAATTAATTGTAAGACATGAACTGTAGGTTGAAAATAAAGTTAGGATTTAAATAGGATAAATTTAATGAAGGGAAGTAATTGTTATTCTATAAAATAATGTGGTTATGGAATCACCATTTCACTAATCGCACTTCTCTGGGAGGGAATGGTAACCCCTGGTTCTATGGAATGAGGAATGGAATATAATCACTATTCCATGCATTTTTTGCTAACCAACATGGGAATATTCATTCCATGAATAAAGCATGGAATGGAATCATTATTCTACGTATCAAACATACCCTAAGTTTTCTCTAGCAAAAATTAAAGATAATGGGAACGTCTATGAAAGGGAAACCTAGCATAATCTGCATTTATATGATAATCCTTGGCCCAATGCTTTTTGATGTTCCTAAGGATGCGAGTCAAAGCATTCCAATGATTATCAAAATGATATTTGGTTGTCACATAATTCAACTTTCCAACAAGTCTCTGTTATTTACTAAGGTCTAGAAGCTCCTTCTGTCAAAAACTTGAAATTTGGATCCAAGGTATTCTACAGGTTTACAATATGTCCAGTGAATATGATACAATTAATGTAAATGAACACAGAAAATATGAATTTGCCCAAATCTTTAGTTTGAAAATGGTGGGAGAGTCGGAGAGATAATCCAAAACTGCCAAACCCTGTCACAATAATTTCAACCATATCATCCACATGGACAACAAGGTATATTTTTGTCAGCATATGAAACTATATCACTGCTAAACCTTGTTGAGATTGTTTCAAGCTGTAAAGAAAATGTGTATTCAGCATGCTAAATTTGACTCACATTGAGCAAAAAAAGCCTTTTTGGTTCATATAAATCTCCTTCTCAAGTGCTTCACAAATTGTAGTTCAAATATCTAGTTGATGTTGAGGCCATCCCAAAGAGAGAAATACACGGGCTATCTTGAAAATACTGTCTTTGCTCACAAATACCACAATTTATCATTGGGCTGTGTGTGTCTGTGTGGAATAAAGTACTGAAAATCTATAAATATTATTTTGTTATTAGTGATTATATGCTTACTGCAGCTGCTGTGTGAGTGTTCATGTTGAAGTTTGATTATGTTGTGACCATTAGCTTGTTTTTAATGCAGTGATCATGTTCCTAATCTCCTGGTCATTCACTGTGGTGTCCTTGGCCCTTGCAAGCCTTATATACAAGTACGTGAGCATCAAAGGAAAGGCTGGGGACTGGGGAGATGGTTTCAAAAGTGCTTATTTCCAACTTGCACTTCGCAGCCTTCGGTCGCTAGGAGGTATACATCTTTCAAATTCAATATTCAACTCTCGTCAAGTAGATGATACAATAAAAAATATAGTAACATTCTTGATTGTGGCTTCATTTATGATTGGGTTGGCTAAGACTTATTTTCATAGTGGGAACTTTATAGTATTAGTTGCTTTTTATTTGAGTTCATCGATCACCGACCTTAATTTGTATGGGATAAAGGTGTTGTTGATATTGATGGTGATATTTATAGCATTAGACTGCCTGTTTATTATCTGTGCATATATCTGTTATTGCAAATATATTTTGCTCTACTAACTAATTATTTCCGTTTATGTTTGTAGCAAGCCAAGTGCACCCAAAGAATTGGTATCCAATTCCACTGGTATTTTGCCGACCCTGGGGCAAACTGCCGGAAAATGTTCCCTGTCATCCCAAACTCGCAGATTTCGCCAACTGTATGAAGAAGAAAGGTCGAGGAATGTCCATATTTGTCTCTATACTAGATGGGGATTACCATGAATGTGCTGAAGATGCCAAGGCTTCTTGTAAACAACTTAGTACCTACATTGATTACAAGAATTGTGAAGGTGTGGCTGAGATTGTTGTAGCCCCGAACATGTCTGAAGGCTTTCGTGGCATCATTCAGACAATGGGCCTTGGCAATCTCAAGCCTAACATTGTGGTGATGCGTTACCCAGAAATCTGGCGTCGGGAGAATTTAACGGAAATCCCCGCCACCTTTGTTGGGATAATTAATGACTGCATTGTTGCAAACAAGGCAGTAGTTATAGTGAAGGGTCTTGATGAATGGCCTAATGAGTACCAGAAGCAGTATGGTACAATTGATTTGTATTGGATTGTGAGAGATGGTGGTCTCATGCTCCTCCTCTCTCAACTGCTGCTTACCAAGGACAGCTTTGAGAGTTGCAAGATTCAGGTCTTCTGTCTCGCAGAAGATGATGCAGATGCAGAGGGGCTGAAAGCTGATGTGAAAAAATTCCTTTATGATCTTCGGATGCAAGCGGAAGTCTTTGTCATAACAATGATGGGGGATGCACAAATGGACGGTGGTTCTCCGCAAGATGAGTCATTAGAAGCATTTACTAGTGCCCAACAAAGAATTGCTGATTATTTAACCCAAATGAAGTCAGAAGCAGAGAAAGAAGGTACTCCTCTAATGGCTGATGGTAAGCCTGTGGTTGTGAACGAGAAGCAGGTTGAGAAGTTTCTTGACACAACGCTTAAGCTTAATTCAACAATTTTGAGATACTCAAGAATGGCTGCTGTTGTTTTGGTTAGTCTTCCCCCACCTCCAGTGAGCCACCCAGCATATTTCTATATGGAGTACATGGATCTGTTGCTTGAGAATGTTCCAAGGATTTTGATCGTAAGAGGATATCGTAGAGACGTTGTAACTCTGTTCACATAGTGTGAAGTGGATTCTAGGACAGTAATCAATTTTCTCACTCATTGTTTATATTTTTGTAGTTTACATGTAACGCTTATTCTTTGTACCCATTTTCTTGCACAAGAGGATCTTTTGTATACCAGATTTTATAGGAAAATATGAAATTCTATTCACTTTTAGGACTTCGTTTTAATTATTTTCGTATCAGATGAGAATTAAATGCTGTTCATTATACTTGTTTCAAATGTCAATGGCATCAGAATAAGGAAATTTCTACAATGCTACTGTGTTACCCACTTTTCTATACATCTCTTCAATACAAATTAAACACCTATACTGATTGATGACATGGAAAAGAAAAAAATATATATTAAAAACAAGTGTTTAATTTTAAATGACAGTAGTACATACTACTGTTGTACCAAAGATGAGTCTTGTAACATTTGCAGTCGAGCAAAATTAATTCCAACACTATTTATCTCCATTCAAGCTAGGTTTTCGTTCTTTTTTTTTGTATGAAGTAAAAGTGAGAATTTACCCTGCGTATTTACACACGTTAAGACTTTTTTTGTAAGAATGGTTTTTACGAACGACGTAGCTCAAGAATAATAATGGTTTCGAGTACGGAATCACGGGTGGATGATTTATAATTAAAGAAAAAGTGTGTATTATTTTAAAGGATATAAAATTATGTCATTTTAAGTGAGAAAAAAAATAGATAAGAAAAAAGAGTGAACAAAAAAATATAAAAGTGTGGGTTCCATCTATTTGTGAGAATGAAATGACATAAATTATATCATTTAAAAAGAAATATTTTCTTATAAATTAGCATTTTCCTTATGGATTACCATCATTAACATTAACAGGCCCGAGTGGCACTTTAGCCAGGTTCAAGTGGATCGCTAACACACCCTTTTCCCTTTCTTCCTCGGTCATTAACCATACATCTTTAATTTTTAACCGTCCGCGTCATTATTTTATTTCTTATAATATCTTGCGTCTCAAATTCTCAATCATTGGTTAAATCTTTTGCACCCGTTGTCTTACCATAATCAAACAACGGGGCTTCTCTGCAATCGCAAGTTTATGTTCCAAGTCAAAGTCCACTTACATGACTATCCTTAGGGCGTTTGGTTCAGGAAATTTTTTTGAAATAATAAAGAAATTAGATAAATAGAGAAATAATTCGAAAGATAAATAAAGTGAGATAGGTAGAAAAATGTAAAAAAAAAGTTATTTGGTGGGAAAAAACTTTACTGGAAAAATTAGGTAACTTTATGAAATCAACAGTGCATTAAAAGCCAGATAACCGATTTTCGGAAAAATTCCACCTTCAAATTAGGTTTCTAAACAGTGCGGATATCTATGTTTCTCATAAATCCAGACAAATTGGATAGATGAGTTTTTGGTGAAAAACGTTGAAACAAACATGATGTTTCTAAAAGCCATACTTGAGAAAGATAGATATCCGCTGAAAAGCTCCGAACCAAACACCACCTTAGTGGTTAATCTTGGGACTTTCGTTCAAACACAGTCCAAGAAGTAGATACAACACTTTTCAAATTTGTTATGTTACTGAAGAATATGATTAAGAATATGATAAGTAAGAACTCGTAAACCTTTGAATTAATATGGAAACTCATGGACAAATTTACCACTCTGATGTACATTCACCTAAAAATAATTTCCTTTCCATCTAGAAAGCAGAGACAGAGAAGAAAAAAAACAATAACACTTGTGGATAATAACAAAAGCATATTCCTAGCTGGTCCTACATCACCGAGTTACATATAAAGTTTTATAAACCATAAATTAAAAGTAAAATGTAACACCTCCTTAGAATCCCAAATGGTAGATCACCCGTATACTATTTTTGCTCCACGGCTATTCTTTATGATTAGTATCACAAGAGTTCCATTTATTTTTACTTTTAATAAACGAATATATAGGATTACTAAAAATTTACACGTGCTATTAACCCCTAAATGGAATTTTCAAATGGAAAAAGTTGCTTGCCATGTAATTGTCCAATCAGCTTTAGTTTGTCCATACAGGGCAAGATAAACATGCACGTATGAATATTGAATTGACAATGGAAGTGTAATGGATAATTATAATTTTGAGATATCTTCATTAAAAAAAAAATTAATAATAATTAAGCTAAACCTAACATGCACTTAAAAAAATTGTAAAGGGACTAGCTTGAAAATTTTGAAAATGTAAGGACTGAAAAAAAGGTGAATTTATAAGGACTAAGAATATATTTCAGTATTGTAAACTTGCAATTGATAAAGGGGTGTTACTAACCCTAAAATGGATTTTTCAAATGAGAAAAGTTGTTTGCCATATAATTTTCCATTCAGCTTTAGTGAGTCCATATATGCAAGGGAGACTTCCACAACATTGAATTATCAACGGCTGTGTAATGGTGAAGTGTTAAATTAATTTATAATTAAAATTTTGATATAACTTAATTAAAAAATAATGAAAATTGTACATGGTGTACTTGACAATTTTAAAAATGTAAGGACTAAAAAACTAATAAATTTCAATAAATTGCAACCTTGCAATTCAAAATGAGTTCTAACTAACGGCAGATTTAGAGCAACCTTGACAAATGTATTTGGTCACGTATACAAAGGGATTGTAAACTTGCCCTGATACACTTAGAGCTATAAAATATATGATAAAGAAAATTTTATCCTATTACATGTTACTTTCGATTGTATAAAGAATTTTTGAATTATAACATGTATGATATGATATGATATGCCTGATGCTCTTTGTTTCTCCTCTTTTCTCTTAATTATTTATATGGGATAGGATATTGTGCTTATTTTTTTTCATGCCTACATTACCTACCAATCTCTAACACTAGATCAAAATCTCAAGAGGAGAGAGATATAATAAATATTAGTTGAAATTCTAATCTAACAGGATTAAAAAGGAGCACATAGAGTTGACATGAAAAAAAAAAATAGGTAGAATAATTTATCCCTATTTATATATATTGATAAAAAAAATATAAATTTTGTTATGAACCTCCACCAATATTATTAACATCAATATTATTGTTATTAAAACCACACCGGAGTCCAACCGGTTGAATCGAAAACTGAATTATTAAGTGGATCGGCTATACAGTTGAATGGATCGTGAATCAGAGTTCGATCTATATTTTAAGTTTTGTAGCCATTAGGATTCAAACTCGCATTAGGTGGTTGGATACTACAACACTTACAATTAAACCACGGTAATTTGTTTGTTAAAATGCATTTATTAATATATTTATTACATATTTAATATAAATTCAATTTAATCGGTTGTACCAATAATTTATTAACTACTTTGAACGAGTTTATAATTGATTCAAGTTTAATAATATTGATCACATACTCATTATGTGAAATCATTATATATATTCATAAACAGTTTTGAAGTTATCAAATTTTAAATATTTCAAAACCATTTTTCAGATTCAGCTTTCATAGATTTTGATTTCTGAGATTTACGATCATATTTACACTCAGCAATAGAGTCAAGAAAAAAATATATAAATATAATTGGAGAGGGGGAGAGGGTGGAGAGAAAAAAGGAGGCAACTGGCTTGCATATGAAATACGTCTATGAAATTTAGAAAAAAAGGATTAACATCACTATCTCAAGGTGAAAATTAAGATGGAAGTATTAAGAGCATGTTTGGTTTCTGGAAACTCAAAAACTACTGTAAGTTTGTATCTTGAAGCTTTTGTTGAAACTATTATTTAGGAATTTCAAAAATTAAACTAGACATGCACTGAATTGTGACCAAGTTCTCGAATTATGAGCAATGACATTGATGTTACCTGTGCTTAAAAGAACTAATTAACTGCACCTGTTAAGCTAAAGAACAGAGAAGCGCTAAAGAATCAACATCCAACCCACAATGAACAGAAGCAACATTTCATTATTCTCTTCAATTAACTTGAAAGTAATTACATATTCCTAATTATACTCCAACTTATCACACGGTGACAGGGAAATGCAACTCAATCAAACAGTAATTATAGACACAGCAAATAACAGACTCCAAAAAAGACTCCCAAAGACCTATAATGGCTCAACAACCACTCAGTCACCAAAAACCAACGAGCAATTCCCAATATTATGCTCCCTCTACAAACGACTACCTGTCTGTAGAGTTCCCAATTCCGTTTTCCCAAACTACTTCATATTTTCCCTTTTTTCCCTCTCTTGCTCCCCCTCCACTATCACTACTTTCCATCGCGTTTCCTTGCTTCTCAATATCCTCGTCTCCATTCAGAATCTGCCAGCTGTCTACTCCTTCTCTTCACATAACTAACTTCATTTTCTTATTGTCTCCCACTACCAAAAATTTCTTCAATACAACGGGAGTGCCGAACTCGGAACTCCTATTTACTAAAAAGGGGGAATAAAATTCCATTTTAACGCATATTTTTTTGTATAATTCCTTTTAAGTCCCCAAAATTTCTCCATTTAGTATAAATGTACCTATAGCTGTTGCATCAAAGGTTTTCTCCCCAGGACCACCTCTGTCCCACCCTCCTCACCAATGCATTGTCTTGGGCCTGACACCTCATTATTATCTTGTTGGACTGAACTTTGTTGGGCTGGACTCTTTCTGAACTTCCTTCTTTTATAACTTCTTGGCAAAGGCTCTAGTGGCCCATCAAACATTAAATCCTTTACCAGAGCACCCAGTTCTATGACTTCAAGGATATGCTATCATGAGACTTCATCTGGAGTTGGAGCAAGTGAACAGGACATGTTCAAGTTTAATCTGACAACATCACTCATGTCACAGGGGAGAACATAAAATCTTTAATGATGGCTGCTTCAGTTGTGGACAGAATATACTAACCAGTGATCTGAAAACCGGACCGGACAGGTTGCTGTGTAAGCATACCGTTTTTCCAAAGAATTTCCAAGTCTTCCTTGACCACCACTTCCTTTATCTCCTTTGTTTCCCTGCTTGCGTCATTCAACCTGTGGTAATAGGATTCACTTGGGAAATAGACCAATCCATCTAAGCCTCCAATAATTGTGATATGAATAGGCTAAATGTATTAGACCACAATTGATAATTGAACCGTGAACCCATCCTTTCACCAGTTCAGTGATCAGTCCAGTTTTCAAAACCTGGAGCATTACATATGTTCCTAGCCAGCATAGAGAGTTATAGAAAATGGAGATAAGAATATAGCAATTTCCATGGACATATAAGATAAGAGAAATCACATCAACTAAAAGAAAAAAAATTACTCTGCTTGTTATATCAGGCTAAATAAAAAATTATTTTTTAGGTGGCATTAATAGGTTTATCTTGTCTTACTTTTGCTTTACTTTAGAAACATAGATGATTCTGTTGTAACCAACTCCTGCCTCTGAATGTTCATGGATTACATATATTGAGGCAAATTGGAAAGATGAATTTCCAATTGTTTATGCTGGAATGTACTACTGACGATTGAAGAAATTCTGTATCCTGAAAGCTCAAGTAAAAGAAGAATGATCGGCTTCAACCAGCAGAATACAAGAGGCATATTGAAATAAGAACCTAAGTTCTCAGCATTTGAAAAATAAAATAAAATAAGCATAACAATCATACTTTTAAAGAGGTTTCTTTGGTTCAGCACATGCTATATAGGATAAAACTAAGCAGTTAGCTTTCATAGTTGTAAAGCAAATGGTCTTTTTGAGGAGAATTCCCCAATAGATATGCAGAGGGAGTGTGCAGCTTTGCTTCATTTATGTTTTCTCTTTTTATTTGTTGATTTAGTTTTCCTTTTTTCCTTATTAAGGATCCCTTATGTCCAATTTCCTTGTAATTTTCTTCACTCCCTCTTAGTGAATTTCTTCAGATGAAAAAAAAAGGTAAAACAAAACTGAAGCACATATAGAAGTGTTTATTCATGTGGTCCATCACTCTTAAACCAAACATTCAAGTTGCTTTTGTTCTGTTTTTTCCTCCCCTCTTTGTTACTTGTGATTGTATGAGAAATTAGACCTATTTGTTTTCCCATCTCGTTCTGCTCTTAAGCTATATGGCAAGAATTTACAACAATGAAACCGAAGGCAGCGAAATTACTAAGTATTACATATGAATCAAGGTGCTTATACTTGAACATAACGAAAATTTCTACTCATTGTCTTAAAATATGAAAAAATAAAAATGGTAAAGCCAGATAGAGTGCACAAGCTCACCCAAAAACCGAACAAAAATAATAATTTAAAAATATAAAATAAAGAAATAATTTGGTTATAGAAATAATCAATGTAGGTAGGTAACAGATCAGCAAGAGGAATTTGAGAATAAAGAAGGAACGTTGAAGTTGCAAGAATGACCGACATGATTTAGAAAATACATGAAGCTCTTAAGTAATTATCACGTTCGAGTAATATCATTCAACCTATAACTTTGAATTATATATTAGTGCTACAAAATTCTTGTGATGATAAATGATCCCAACTTAATACTTACCAGCATCAGTAATAATTGAAAGCATACCCCTAAGTTAGTTAGAAGTTATTTTACCATGATATGGGTAACATGAAGAAATATTTGCTGACTGATGCTGAGAATATGAGAGAAATCAATTAATCTCCACTCAATTCTTGCTTATGATTTGTGGGTGCAGTGGAAGGTAAGGTTGAGGAACATATCCCTGTTTTTTCAACTCAAGAAGAAGACTCTTCAGAATCAAATAGATATCAACAGATTGTGGGTGACTTCCATCAGCAGCAGAAAACATATGGGTGCCACCATTGACATCAATCCAGCTGTATCCTCGTATCTTTTGAACTCCTTTTTCCTTCATTAAACTTCGTATCTTAAGAACACTTCCCCATTCCCCAGCACCAGCATGAACATTTGAAAGTAATACATAGTATCCTGAATTTTTTGGGTCTAATTCAAGAAGATGTCTTGAAGCTAGTTTAGCCAACTCAACATTGCCATGAACCCGACATGCTCCAAGCAGTGTCCCCCAAACACCTGCATCTGGGGTGAATGGCATGCTCTTTATAGTATCAAATGCTTCATGCAAACGACCAGCACGACCATACAAATCTACCATGCATGCATAGTGTTCCATCCTAGCGTGGATCCCGTATTCCTCAGTCATGCATTGGAAGTAGTATAGGCCTTCATCAACTAGGCCAGCATGACCACAAGCAGATATTATAACTAGAAAAGTAACATGATCAGGGTGAATCCCAGCTTCTATCATCTCATGGAATAGATCAAGGCATTCTCTAGGGCAACCATGGCTTCCATAGGCAGCAATGATGCTATTCCATGAAACTTCATTCTTCATCTCCATCAAGTCAAACACACACCGAGCCAAAGCTAGTTTTCCACATTTAGAATACATGTCTATCAGTGCACTTGCAACAAAAGTGTCAGAAATAAATGCATTTTTTACCACAAAGCCATGCATCTCTTTCCCATAATAGAGTGCCGGTGAATTTGCGCAAGCAGAGAGAGTAGCTGATAGGCTCACAGAATCAAACTTGGTTCCACTCATTCCCATTTGACGAAAAAGATCAATGGCCATTTCTGGTTTCCCATTTTGTGAGAAGCTTGAAATCATTGAGTTCCAACATACACTATCTCTTTCAGACATTCTTCTGAAACATCGATAAGCAAGATCCAGTCTTCCACATTTTGCATACATATCTGTGATGGCAGATCCCACATGACATACATTGTCCAATCCTTTTTTTAGAATTTCACAATGTAATTCCTTCCCTAATTTCAGAGCAGCCATAGCAGCACAAGCTGGCAAAACACTAGCCATGGTCAGGGAATTAGGCATCATTCCCTCTTGAATTAACCACCTAAAAATGTTTATAGCATCAATATTCAGCCCATTAAGTACATAGCCTGAGATCATAGCCGTGCAAACCGCAACATCAACCAAGGTATTCTGCTGGAAAATCTTGGACGCCATCTCCACATCTCCACCCTTGAAGTAAATGTCAATAAGAGCACTCTTCAAATAGACATCAAAAGGCAACATATGTCGCACTATATAACTATGAATTTCCTTACAATGTTTGACACTCCCAGATTCAAGGATAGAAGGAAGGAAACTTGCAAAAGTGATCGAATCTGGTTTGACACCAGCAGAGATCATTGCTTTAAACAAAGGTGCAGCCTCATCTGTAAATCCATTTTGTACATATCCAGCAATCAATCCATTCCAAGTCACCGTATCAGTCTGCGACATTGTATTAAATAACTTACGAGCATCAAAAAGGTTCCCACATTTTGAATACATGGCAAGTAGTGTGTTTGCTACCTTAGAGTCAAACTCAAACCCACTACCAATAACAAGACCATGAAGCTGAATACCAACACCAAGTATCCCTCTTGTAGCACATATAGACAAAATACAAGTAAACGTTACCGAATTAGGCTTATTATAAGAGTCCCTCATTTCCTGAAAAGTTCCTACCGCATTGTTAAAGTCTCCATTTTTCACATAACCATTGAGCATGACATTCCACAAAATGCTGTCTCTCATAGGCAATTCATCAAACACGCATCTTGCATCATGAATATAACCATTATCTGCATAAAGCTTGATCAAAGAACTACCAACAAACAAGTCCAGATGAAACCCCATGGACCTAACCATATTATGAACCATCTTACACAATGGCACATTATTCAAGCCACCACAAGCTTTAATCACATAAGGAAATGTGTATTTATCAGGTGAAACTCTACTACCCAACATCTTGAAGTAAAACAACAAGGCAAAATCAAACCACCCCAACATTGAAAACCCTCTTATCATCCAATTCCAAGGAAGACTATAGCACAATTCAAGCCTGAAAAACAATTTACCAGCATCTTTGACACTACCACAAAGAACATACATCCCCAAAATCCTTGAACTCAGTGTATTCTCATCACTCACTCCACCAACAATGACCTGAGCATGAATTTGTCTGACTTGTGGAAGCACAGAAGGATCTGAACAAGCCCTGAACACAGATTCCAATTGGGTTGATAAAACAACCTCGGTATTTAGTGATGAAAAATGTGATTTTGGCATGACTATGTTGCAGCTTGTTGAGTGCATGAACATGAATTTGGACCTTGAAACTACAATTCTACATATAGAGCGTAGATTTTTCTTAAACATTTTGGTACCCTTTTCTTCAAAACCCAAGTGGCATACCCATAACCAAATTTCAGAAACCAAAATAGAGTTGATTCGCCGTTAAAGCATATACCCATAATCAAAGTCTTTCACAATTGTTTAGCTGGCATGTCAAATAGAGTGAATCAAACTGAAGTACTAAAGTAGCACATTACGGGTCATTAGCAATTAGAAATCACTTTAAAAGATTAATGATTACAACCTCATCATCTTGTTTGCTGTTTCTTTCACCTCCAACGCGGCATTCATCCTCGTGTTGATCCATATTCGTATCTTGTGTTCACGAAGCACGCATCTACGCAGTAAGAAACCGAAGAACACCGAATGCAAATTAGTACTAGGGTTCAAAGTGAGAGAGGAACATTTGTTTTTCTTCCACATCGAATAATAATTATACTCCAAAAAAAAAAATTGCAATGAAAAAACGTTTAAGCGTGAAATATTTTAGATAACTATTTAAAAAAGGAAAAACTTCTATCCTTTCAGAAGGATATAAGCATATGTTAATTATTTCTTTTGTTTTAATTTATTAATTAATTAATAATAAATTTGACCCATTAAAATTGACTCAATAAATTATAACGTTGATTGACGGAAATCAACGGTTAGGATTTAAAATGACATATGATTATATCCTCTCTTTTTTTTTTTTGATAAACAAAAGGGCTAAGAGCCCAAAAGAAAAGAAAACTAAAGAAAAAACTACCTAGGGAGTGCCACAACACGCTCTTCCTACCGAAGCCAGATCACCAAAATATAAATGTTGCACACCAAGTGGAGGATGACTAAAAAAACACTGATCAGCTAGCTCAGCAGAATCTAAAATAAAGTTAGCTAACACACGAGTTGCCCTCCCTGAAATTGTGACGGAGATAAACCTGTTACTCTTTTCCAAGCCACGTCCGTATACGAGACACCAATTGCACCTCACGGACTGCTACACCACAATTGGTGAGCACAGTGATTGCTTGCCAACAGCGAATCACTTTCTAAGATAATTTTCCTGTAACCCTTGCTCCAAGCCATTTCCAAACCCCTCAGAATACCCCATAATTCAGCTTTAAAAGAAGAGCAGAAACCCAACTTATACGCAAATCCATTCAACCAAATACCTTGGGAGTTCCTAATTACACCCCCACAAGTTGCCACACCAGGATTACCACAGGAAGCTCCATCCGTATTTACCTTCACAAACCCAACTTCAGGAAAGGTCCAAGACACAAGGACGTTGCTAATAAGAGGGCCCTGGTTAGAAGACTTTTGATTTGTAATAGCACTATCCATCTCTGAAATAAATTTTTTAATTATTTCTACTTTACTCCCAACCATGGGCACCTCTTCTCCATGATTCATCATATTCCTCCAGCTCCAAATCTTCCAACAAGTAACCAAAAAACTGGACAACCAATTATCATGACTACTATCCATGAAATTACCGCTAAAATTAATAGAAATCCACTGCTCAAACGAAGAATCAAAGAAAACAACGCTATAATCAATAAGAATAAGACAATCCCAAATAACTTTAGCCCTGTGACAATCCCTCAAAGCATGAATGATAAATTCAGGTTCCCCACTTCCACAAGAACACATACCATCACTACCATTCCAACTGGACATATAACTATTCGTTAATAGTTTTTGATGGAGCATCTTCCAAATGAAAATTTTTATTCTCTGAGGGCCCTTCCAAGTCCAAAGCCTATTCCAAGTCTTTTTAACAACATCATCATCAATGACTTCATAATTAGACAAGTAATCATATAAGAAACTCACAGAAACAGATTGGGATTTATGAATCCCCCAAATCTTTCTATCAGGACCATCATAGGCATTAGGAGGTAAAACACTACGGATAATATCAACAATATTTAAAGGTAACCAACTATTCAGCTTAGAAAAAACCCACTCACCCGAAATGCTTACAACATCAGCAACCTTTACATTATCCATCCTCAAAATATCCTCATCTTCAGCAAAATCTTCCAATTTGCATGAACTTGGAAGCCAAACATCCTTCCAGAACCTTACCTCCTTGCCATTGCCAAGCTCCCATTCTAAATTATTCTCCATAGCATATGCCACAATCTGCAAACATTTTTCCACAAACTAGAGTCATTATTTTTTGCAACAAAAAGAGAATTTGACCTTGTACCAACCTTGTATTTGGCATGCATCACTTGCACCCAAAGCTGCTCAGGTTCTGTATAAATTTTCCAAGCTTTTTTAGCCAGAAAAGCATCATTCATCCTAGCTAAATTTCTCAACCCCAGACCCCCATGAAGCTTAGGAGATGTGACTACATTCCAGTTAATTGGATGATGTCTACGAGCATTAATTTTATCTCCCCAAATAAAATTTATTTGCAACTTCTCTATAGCCTCACACACCATCAAAGGGAGTTTACAACTTTGCATCCGGTAGGCAAGAATAGCAGCCAAAATAGATTGTGAAAGGGTGATCTTTCCTGCTTGAGAAAGGCATTGTTGCTCCCAACTCGTAAGCTTGCTCCTTACTTTTTCCACCAGCCCATCATATAAATGCTTAGAAACTCTACCTTGCCTCATCATAGCTCCAAGATACCTTCTTACATTATTAACACATTTAAAACCACTGAACTGAACAACTTTATCCATGATCTCCTTAGATGTATTCTTTGAGAAATAAACAGAAGTTTTTTCCACACTAAGCTTTTGACCAGACATCTCCTCAAAAATCTTAAGGCACTTGAAAAGAGTTTGAATTTGATCTTCAGAAGCTTCCATGAACAACATAAGATCATCTGCAAAAGCAAGGTGAGAAATCTTTGGACCACCCTTTCCTACATGCATAGGCTTCCACAATCCCCCATTAACAGCAGTTGTAATAATATGGGTCAACTTATCCATAGCCAGTACCAAAAGATACGGTGATAGAGGATCCCCCTGTCTCAGACCTCTTGTAGGAATAAAATCATCAATTTTACCCCCATTCCATAAAAACATTAATCCCTGTAGAAGAAATACAATTCATGATAATATTGACAAAGGACTTAGGAAGGTGAATTTCATCTAAGGTTTTGCGCATAAAACTCCAACTCACCCTATCATAGGCCTTAACAAGATCAATTTTAATAGCCATATAAGCCCTTTTGGCTCTCATCTTGCTCATAGAATGAACTAACTCTTGGACAATTGTAATATTATCTTGAATTTGTCTGTTTGGAACAAAGCTCACCTGATAAGGAGACACCACCCTTTCCATAATATGCTTAAGCCGACCCACAATAATCTTAGAAATTTTTTTATAGACAACCGAACAGAGAGAAATTAGACATAATTGAGATATGAGCTCAGGGTTCTTAACCTTAGGAATTAAAACAAGGAGAGTTGAATTAACCTCTGTAATTGAATCTGGATTAGACCACATGTTCTTCATAGCAGTGCAAACTTGAACTTTCAATCTTTCCCAATTCCTTTGAAAAAATATAGCATGGAAACCATCATACCCAGGTGCCTTGTAAGCTCCCATAGAGAAAACAATCTGTCTGATTTCATCATCGTTAGGAAGCATAACCATCCTTCTCAATTCATCTTGAGATAAAACTGGCCACATATTGTCAGAAATGATCCATCTATGGTCAACCACCTCTTCCTCAAACAAATTCTTATAAAACTGGCAAACATGATTTTTTAAAATAGATGGATCATCTATCCAATCATTAGTACTATTTCACAACCTGTGGATCTTGTTATGAGATCTACGGATGATAGTCTTCAGATGATAGAACCTTGTGTTCTTATCCCCATCAGTAATCCACTTGTTCCTTGATTTCTGGTACCACAACAACTCCTCTTGATTAAGAGTAATATTTAATTTCCCTTGTAAAAGTTCCTCAACTTCCTTCAACCTGGGACTATCCATTACCTCTCTCTGATCTTGAATGTTAGCAATTCTTTGATTCAACTCACTCTTACGGTTATTAATATTCCCAAAAATCTCTCGGTTCTAAGTCTTAAGAGGAGAGATAAGATTTAATAACATATTGTTCATTGGAAGATTAGAATTCCAATTTTCATCCATAAATGTACCAAAACAGGGATGGTCCAACCAAGAGGCCAAAAATCTAAAATGTTTATAAGCCGAATGCTTCACCTGTTTAAAAATAGACAAAACCAAAGGATTATGATCATACATGATTCTAGGAAGAATCCTAACATCAGCATCCTCAAAATTGATCCTCCAAAGAGAGTTGGCACAAACTCTATCCAATTTCTTGAAAACCCTGTCTAAGTTATGCCATTTATGACCCTGCCATGTAAATTTTGCACCCAAACCCTCAATCTCCTCAACTCTGCATGTATCTAAGAATTACTGAAATCTACCACATTTAGCTAAGTCAGGCCTGGATCCCCTCCTTTTTTCCACTGCTGCAATGAATATCATTGAAATCACCTCCCAAAATCCAAGGTTCATTAATAGATGAGCTAATCTGCATGATTTCCTCCCACATACCATGTCTAATATCCTCATTGGGATTTGCATAAACTGCAGTACATAAAAAACTCTTGCTGTTATCAAATACAATTTTCATGTGAATAAATTGAGCAGTACTACTGATTAACTGGATTGCAACCTTCCTAGAGTCCCAAAGAACCCAAATTCCACCTGCAAAACCACTGGCCTCTTGAGCAATAACTTTATCAAAATTAACCTTCTTCATAATCTTAGTACTGATCACACTACTGGTTCTAGTCTCCATAAGAACAACCACAGAAGCCTTATTTCTATCCACCATAAATTTTAGAGTGCGGCCTAAACTAGCCTTAACCGCTCCTCTGCAATTCCAGAAAATCAAAGACATTAAAACTTCTTAGGAGAAAGGGCAGGCTTAGATTGCACCTGCTGAACTTTCCTTTCTGAACTTAAAACCTGCTGATTCCTTGTTAGAGCAGCATTATTTCCTTTCCCATCTTGACGCTTTCTTCTTCCAGAAACTGCATCAGGGGACTTAGGGGCTGGCATCTTTAAATGCTCAATCAAATGAACTCCTTGTTGAGGGTTCTTACTAACTGATAAAATTGAAACTTTATTTTGGATTGAAGAGACCTCCTCTTTTTTACTCCCACTCCCTCCTTGATTCTCAAATATACTTCCAACATTCTGAAAGCACTGTTATCAACCATCATATGACTAGAGGAACCCTAACTTTGGTTATGGACACTAGCATCTGAAACTATACTTCTAAAGTCCCCAGAATTATCATATCCTTTACCCACTATACTACCACTTTCATCAATCAACATAAAGTTTGAAGGGGTTTCAATAACTTTAACAGGGGACTTACCTCCTCGACGATTCATATGGAAACTCCGGTTTCCCTGCTCTATGCCAACTTGTAAAGTCCTTTCATTGCCATTATTGTCATCCTCTTCCTCAATTTGATGAAGCACTGAATCTAGACTCCACATTGTTCTCCCTTCTCAAAACAAACATGCTTGGTATTCCTTCCTTCTTCTCAATATGAGCTGGACCATTCCTGTTAACTTTCGTATGCCTTTTAACCAACATCCAGGGCCCAAATCTCTCATCAATATTGTTAGGATGAGTACTCTCACTATTAGCTGGAATTCCTTCCTCTCCTTGCTTCGGATTCACATCTCCAGAATGGGATTCCATCGTAGAAGCTTTAGAAGGACAATTCTCTGTTCGGTGGCCATATTTTCCACAAGCAAAAAAAACAAGATGTAATCCATCATACTCAACATTCTTTAATTTTCCCTCAATTTTGTACTCAGCCTACAGAGGTTTACTTAAATCCAACTCCACGCAAATTCTGGCAAACTTACCCCTCGTTAGACAAGTCGTCGCAGCATCCATTTTAATGAACTTACCAAGCCAATTTCCAACCTCCTTGATCAACTCAGTGTTCACATACTCAACTGGAAAACTTGGTAGCCGAACCCACGCCATAATACGGCTAATTGAGGCAGTGAAAGGATGAAAATCAGGCTCCCAAGACCTGATAGCTAAATAATGGACAAAAATCACCCACGGCCCCGCAGTAAGCGCATGGCTTAAATCTTTTTCCTCTGAGAACCTCACAAGAAAAAACCCATTTTCAACATCAGTGACAAAGATTTGCCCCTCCCTTGCCCACATATTTTCCAACCTCTTCTTCATGACTGGAAGCGCTATCTTCTTCCCTAACAATTTCACATAAATCGCCTTCTTCCATGGCTTCCAGGCATGCTTCTTAAAGGTATCTGATAGATTGAAATTAGTTCTACCATCTTCATCTGTCTGACAAAGGATCTCAGGCTGAATCGTTGCAACCATTGTGCCTGCTTGAGTTTCCTGAATCTCTTCCTCCTCTACTTCTGATACTACTTCCTCGACATCCTCATGCATCTCTCATTCTCCGTTATGCCTCATGAGCATCTTTTTGAAAGTCGTCCTTTCTTCCATCCATGGTTCTTCTCTAGGAACCATTGTCTGATTGTGACTAAAAGCAACATCTCCCCCTTTGTACTTCTTTGTACTACTCTTCAGATTATCAGCCTCCTCAGAAGAGATTTTCGTCGAGCTCACAGGTAAAGCCCCTGCGATATGGTTCGCAGCGCTAGGGTTCACATCGCTAGAGTTTGCAGCCATCGGACCAATGGCAACTTACTTTGCAATGAATCACACAAACGAGAAGAGATGGGCTTCAACGGCGACTTACGTTGATCCCACACTCACCGCCTTTAGCTGCCACAAAAGAAATCGATTTGTTTCCAGCAAGACACGAACGACGCTAGGTCAGCAAGACACGAACGACGCTAGGTCTCATATTATATCCTTTAAAAGAATAGATGTTTTTCCCTTTAAAAAAATAAAAAATAATTATATTGTTTAGAGTAGGATATTATAACAACCAATTAAGATTACTACCAATCAATTTCACCGTTGGATCCATATAATCGATCCAACGGTTATATTTATTTTCATCTTTGTATGGTTATGATTCCCTATATTTAATGTACATTAAATATAAGAAATCATAACCATACAAAAGTGAAAATAAAAATATTATAGAGAATCATAACCATACAAAGATAGAAATAAATATAACAGTTGAATCAACATAATCGATCTAACGGTGAATGTGATTAGTCGTAACATTGGTAATAACACTAATTAGTTGTTACAATTGTTAGGAATGTGGCTTCCCTACTCAAGAGGGGGTGAATTGAGTATTACAAATTTTTTGCAAAAACCCCCCTTCTAGTTTCTAAATAATTATTTCAAGCAAACTTTGATATATGGAAAGCTAATTAATACATTCAGACAATCCATAATATATAATATATCACAATTATAGAACTTATACTAGCACATACAAGATATCAAAGAAGCAATTAAAGTACTAGAAATAAAAAGTTTAGAGTTTAGAGAATTGCTAACACAATATATCCTGGTTCGGTCACCACCACTTGTGACCTACGTCAAGACTGAAGCTGCTCGATCAACTCTTTCACTAACGGTCAAGCTTCACGAGTGCTTGACAAACCTTTACAAACTTCCAAGACTTCGGGTTCTTTGATACCTTACAATATTCAAGTTTACGGGTACTTGGCAACCTTACAATTCACTCCAAATTTACTTAAGTATTTGGCTACCTCTCAAACAATGGGTCTCACAACCCTTTCAACTCAAGAATACAAGAAGGGAAATATTAGGAAATGAATATACACTCTCAAAGTGTGGATATACAACTTGAAGCACTATGGGTATATGGATTTTCAAGATATGAGCTCAAATATATTTTATCTTTGAAAGATATGAAAGAATATGAAAATGATAGTGTAGAAGCTCTCAAATCATTCTTAAGATGTGTAGGAATGGTGATCAATTTGTTTTAGGGTCATAAGGAATGTATTTATAGTGTTTCCATTGAAAACTAGTTGTTTATAGCTGTTTTATGCATTCTGCCCAGTAAGTATTCGAATACTTTTCGTGTGGTATTCGAATACTTAATTTATAGCCGTTATAGGCTTTATGCCCAGTAAATATTCGAATACTTTTCATGTGTTATTCGAATACTTCATCAGGTATTCGAATACTGCATCAGGTATTCAAATACTTTATTCACAACAAAGAAAATTGTTTCGTATTTTGGGCATAACTTAAGGTCTACTTGCCAGATTGATGTGATCTTGGTCTCGTTGGAAAGATGAAAGAAAGATCTACAACTTTTATGAAAAACACGAGATCCAAATCCATCATATTAGATACGAAAAATTGTATGGAAGGCAGAAGCAAAATTGAGCAAAAAATTTTAGGTTCAAATGTGTTCTAGCTTGCTTCCAACCACTTTTGTGAAAGATCTTGACTTGATAAATATGTCAAGAATCTTTTCCTATGATTTTTCAAATTTCTTTCAAGTATATAAAGATTATGGTTATGCAATTTGAAAAACACGTTTACTTTGAGAAAAATTTTGAGCTCATGCAATGCAATCTACCATATACCCTCACATATATTCTAAGTCCTAAAGATATATTCCAAATCTGATTTTAGACTTAGCTTTATGTATTTGTGTCTTGGATCTTTACTTGAACTTGATGCTTTGACTTGTTGAATATGACAATGCTTGCCACTTTGTTGGTTTTGATCATTTTTCACCATGGTTATGATATTGAGCTTCTCTTAGATGTTGTCCATGGTTAGTTGTCTTTGATCTTGGTGTTGCTCTTCTAATTGTTCCTTGTTGCTCTTGATCCAATGATCTTGCCACTTTGATATGACATCACTCTTCTTGTGTGGCTACATCATACATCTTCAATATCCACATACGGTTGATGCTTTTTGCTCTTGATCAAAGCTCTTCTCTTTTTGTTGTTGCCATTTTGTTATCAGCAAAACATACCTTGTATCTACAATCTCTCCTTTTTTGATGATGACAAACTTAAAATTGAGAAAGTGTTAGTATAACAAATATTCTCAAATAATGTATATCATACTCCCCCTCAATTTATGAATGTTTCCTAATCATTATACTTATACAAGTGAAGCATTACAAACCAAGATATATGTATATGGTGGAAGAATATAATTTTCTCAATTTTCATATTTTTCTCCCCCTTTTGGCAACATCAAAAAGCATAAACCAAGATAAGCACGTAAACTTGTGAGCAATAAGATTTCATTGAGCATGTTAATAAAGAACACTTGTTATTTAGCATCAAAATAATGATATCAAAGCAACTATCAAAGCTCCCCCTTAATCCATGAATAGTTTCAAAGATAAAAGTGTGAGAATTCTAGGATCAACAAACATCATTTTGACCTTTTTAGTGCATTCTACCTCTTTCATCTTTGCTTTTACCATTTCCCAACATGTTAGGTAGAGGTGTGCTACATTTTTTTTTTAAATTTTCCTTGATTCTCCCCTTTAGGCAACATCAATGGGATTGAATAGTTCAAGATATATAACAAAGCATTCAAATGATTCAAGTAAGTGCAAATATGCTTTGGAAGTGGACTTAAACCATCAAGTGCTCAATATATCATAAATCCAACACAAATGATCCATTCAAGTTAAAACATACAAATATAAGCATATGGTCCAAGTTCAAAGCATTTATATCACAAAGATCTAGGATACGCAAATAATAATGTAATACTAAGCATCAAATCATAGTTGAACATTGTATAGAACATGGCAAGAGATATGACAAATGATTTTCTCTTATTTTTGCTAGCATAAAATATTATGTGCAAGTTGTAGGCATATGACTATCATGACTTTGATAATAGCAAGCATAAGATTCGTAGACATGTATTAAGCAAGTGGCTTTAATAGTATAAATTATTCGACATATCTACACAAATATTTATAGCAATATCATGTCATATGCAAGCAAATAGAGAGATTAGGAACTTAGCTAATTTATGGAGTATTTTGCAAATTAAACCTTTTTGAAGTATCTCAAATATCGTTATTCTCCATTCCTTTGTAAACTCTTAGTTTTGTTCTTGTT